AGAATGAAATTCCAGTCCCTTAGCCTGACTTACAGCCTTCCGAAATCTACCCCCAAACCAACCTTGCCTTCTTCAGTCACTATGATGAAGTTCTTGAACCTAGGTGAGGTTCGGTGGGGGTGAGGTTCGGAGCCGACGGCTAAGAAAGAATTCTTAAGAGTCTTTGGTGCAAAATGGCGGTTTATTAAAGCACAAGGACAGGACCCGTGGGCAGACGGAGATGCTGCCCTGGGGATGTGAAGAGTGGCTGGTTATATACACAGGAGTAGGTGAGGACAAAGGGGTGTTCAGAAGGGCTATTGGGGTAAAGAAGGCTGTCAGGATACTGAAGGCCTGGTTACTATCAAGCCAAGGCCGCTTTCCCTCTAATGAGGCACTAACATAAAGACAATTGGGAGTCTCCTGGTGGAATGTTACATTCCTGCTATCAAGCGTCCTTGTTAGTGAGATTTGGGCTTAGAAGAAATTTAACTTTATTTACTTTTCCTTCTACCTCAGCCTCCTTCAGTTTTGTTTATGGAGGGGAAGGTGACATTAGGCTTGAGGAACTGAGTTATGTGCCTCTGAAAATTGGGCTATTGATAAGAACTTCTTTGTTGTAAATTTGTTGTAGATTTGTTGTAAATCTCAAGGACATTTGTAAACCAAGGGAGACTCTGTCCTGCAGGATTGTGATCTCTGCAAGTTAACTATTTGTTTCTCGTTTATGGCAGTCAGGGGTGCCTGAGGAATGTGACACATATTACGAGGGGAGCGGGTGGAGAGGGGGTACAAGGTGCCAGCTTTTGCTTTGTCCTCAGCCAGCCTCCTGCTCCCTCATCAACTACAGACTTTAATTCTGAGAGGTACCCATCGAACTTCTGCCGAGTGAGGGGATGAAGAATTCGTGAACGAATGCCTTCTGTTTAGTGGAGAGTTTTGCAAAGGGAGTCCATTGCCAGAGGAGCCTGGGGCTGGGGCCCTGTGGAAGTCTGTTAACGTGGGAGCCAGGGGTTTGGGGGAGATCTCATCCAAGCTCCGTGAGCGGCACCAGGGACAGAGCCTCACCTGGGCGGGCAGGGGCGGGGGATTCTAAGTACAAAATCAGGGCCGTTTCATGTTTGCTCAATCTGGCCGGTAGGCACATATTTTTCTTGGTTCCAGGGTGAGAGGGCTATAAGCGGGAGCTGAAGAGCTGTTTCCCTCCGCAGCTCTAAACACTGGGTGCAGAAGCTAGCTTCTTGGGACCTCAGCATGGACTGGCTCCGGCTCCTCCAAGGCCCCAGGGTCAGCAGCTGAGCTGGCTCAGACAAGGCGGGGCCGGCCCACAGCACAGGCCCCAGGAGCCCACCGAGGGATGAACGCAAGTAAGACATTTCACCGACGGAGGCAGGAGGTTCTGCTTTAGGCAGGGTAAGAATGTGCAGTCTGATTTCTGACAGTTTTTCTGGCAGGAGAGGCCTGGGGAATCTTGGCGAAATAAACTTGAGGGTGCCAATTAGAGGCTGAACCTCCTGGCATCCCCCCATTGCTCTCCCTTCTTCACAGGCTCATTGGTATGCCCAGGTCAAAGGCTTGCTCCTTTAGGGTGCCTTCCCTGAACTCCCTAGTTGGAAGTTAGCCCCTCTCCTCTCCCCTGCAAATCTGCATCTGCATCCTGAAGCAGTGGTAGGGCACTCAGGCCACATGGCATATATTATATATATATATATATATGCACACACACACATATATAATTATGCACACACACACATATATATATGTGTGTGTGTGTGTGTCTATTTGTAAAGATTTAATTATTTGACAGCACAAGCAAGGGGAACAGCAGAGGGAGAGAGAGAGAAGCAGGCTCTCTGCTGATCAGGGACCCCAAAGCAGGGCTCGATCCCAGGACCCTGGGATCATGACCTGAATCAAAGGCAGACGCTTAACAGACTGAGCCACTCAGGCACCCCGAAGTTATTTCTTGACTGAATGGTAGGTAGTTCAGTGATTTTTAATGATCCTCAAGAGTTCTGCACTGTACATAAAAGGATACAATTAAAGTGAAAAGGCCATATATAGAATGGGAGAAATATTGCTAATTATTAACCGATAAGGGTTAATATTCAGAATATATGAAGAACTCCTACAACTCAGCAATTAAAAACAAAAAACCAAAAAGCAACCTAATTGAAAAAACCAGCCAAGAACTTGAATAGACACTTCTCCAAAAAAGACATACAAGTGTCCAAAAAGCACAGGAAAGGATGCTCAGTGTCACTAATCATGAGGGAAGTGCACATCAAAACCACCGGGAGATGTCACTTCACACCCAGTGGAATGAGCACTATGAAAAAAACAAGACGAAACACCAAAATTAGTGTTGGTGAGAATGAGGAGAAATTGGAACCCTTTTGCTCTGTTGGAACGTTAAATGGTGCAGCTGCTAATGGGAAGCAGTATGGCAGTTCCTTGAAAATTAAAAGTAGAACCACGACATGATCCAGCAATCCCACTCCTGGTTATATATCCAAAAGAACTAAAAGTAGAGTCTCAAAAGAGGTATTTGTTGTGAACACCCATGTTCACAACGGCACTAGTCACAATAGCCAAGAGGTGGAAGTAATCCAAGTGTCCATCAGTGGATGAGCTGGATACATATAATGTGTATACACACAATGGAATATTCCATCTTAAAAAGGGAGGAAATTCTGACACATGTACAACATGGACGAATCTTGAGGACATTATGCTAAGCGAAATAAGCCAGTCACAATAAAAACAAATGCTGTATGATTCCGTGAATACAGTCAAATTTATAGAGACAAAATAGAGTGGTGGTTGCCGGGTGGGGTGGGGAGTTGTTTTGTGGATAGAAACAGTTTCAGTTTTGCAAGACGGGAAGTTTCAGTTTTGCAAGAGGGGAAGAGTTCTGGAAATTGCACACAATGTAAGTATACTTATCACTATTGAACTGTACACTTAAAAATGGCTAAGTCAGGGGCGCCTGGGTGTCTCAGATGGTTAAGCCTCTGCCTTCTGCTCAGGTCATGATCTCCAGGTCCTGGAATCAAGCCCCATGTCCAGCTCCCAGCTGGGCAAGGAGTCTGCTTCTCCCTCTGCTTCTCCCTCTCCCCCTGCCTATGCTCTCTCTGCCTCTCTCTCTCTCTCTCTCTCTCAGATGGATAAATAAAATCTTTAAAAGAATGGCTAAGTTGGTAAATTTTATTTATATTTTACCACAATTAACAACAACAACAACAAAAGTTCTGCACTGAATTGGTCCATTCAGATGATTCACTAGGCAAGCTTGTCCGAAAGCAGCACCCGGGGGGAGCTGGGATTTGTTAACTTGGCCCCAGAACACCTCTACCAGAGGTAGATACTCCGTACATTCCTAAGGAAGTAAGGAAGGCTCTCACTCCTCAGGGTGTAGTTCTTGGACCTGAGTAACACCATCACCCAGACTCATTAGAAACACAGAACCTCATTAGACACACAGGCCCCAACCCAAACTTAAAAGAATTGGAATCTGCATTTTAATAGTCTTCCAGGTGATTCATGCAAATTAATGCCTGAAAAGCCTGTCCTGTAGGAAATCCTCTCTGGGAAGAAAAACATTAAAGGAGGGGTGAGTGGCACACACACCAGACAGTCCCTGGGAGGACAAACTCTCAGCACTTTCCCAACTTAGACATGGGGAAACTGAGGCCCTGAGGCTTGTACCAGAGAGGCTGCTGGACACATTTTACTGGCAGGGCTCTGGAAGTGGACTTCGCAGGTGCTGACTTGTCCATCTTCTAGCTGTGTGCTCTTGAGTGAGTTACTCTACGTCTCTGACTTAGCTTCTCCACCTGTAAGAGCCACTCCCTAGATCTGCTTATTTAACTGTGGAATAATGAGTACAGGTAACGGTGAACATGTGCCCAGGGCATACCTGCTCTTGTTATTGTTGCCAGAAGTCACATTTCAGGAGAGAGCACAGTGGAGAGGGGTCAAGATGTCACCATTGCTCCGAGTGTAGGCAGAAGGTACGCAGAAGAGGATGGAGGTGGTCAGTGATGTCAGTGAGCAAATTCAGGCATTCATTCATGCATACATTCATTCCTTCCAGAACAAGTATGAATGCTTGTCCAGTAAGGACCTGGAGATCTGGCAGTGAGGAGGATGAGCCTGACCCGTCTGCAGGCAGAGACCACCTAAGCATGGGGACGCCCAGGGAACTGGCTCTTAGAACTGCAGCCCCAAATGGGGAACCTCCGATCATCTTTCACTCCATCCTCGCAAGCGGCCCGATCCTAGGATCACACCTAAGTTCTCCCGCCTTGTACCTGGGCTCTACTCACTCCCGCACTCTGTCCGCACTTCCGACCCCCCGGGCCTGGTCAGCTGCTCGGTACTGAGGCATTGGTGGCCAGAGTCGCGCTGCCTCCCGCACTTAGCTCTCAGGCCCAAGGCGCAGGAGTCGCACGCGAACTACTGTTTCGACGGTCCCCAGCCACGGAGACCGTTAACCAACCTCAGGGATCCCAGGCCTTTTTCCTCTTCCACGCTTCGCTCTGCCGCATTTTCAGACTCGCCAAGCACACACCCCAGTGGGGAGCAGCAACAAGTCTCCTTGCAAGCGCCACGCCCGCGAGGGTCCCGCCGCGGAGAGTGGGGTTCCCGGGTGCCGTGCGGGGCCGGGGACCGGGAGAGTCGGCCCCGGAGGATCGCCGGGGGTCAGGACGCCTCGCAGGAAAAGGCGGTGCGTTACTTCTGCCACCAGGCTCTTCGTGGGACCCTAAATAAGCGAGAGCTTCGTGCTCCACCGGTCTTTGGCGGCATCTCCGTGGGCTCCGCTGGGAAGCTGGGAAGACGGGGACGTCCTCGCCCCGCCCCCAGGAAAAGGGCCGCAAAGAAGTGAAACTCCGTGAGTCAGCGCGCGGGCAAGCGGGGCGGCGGGGCGGGGCGTCGCCCCGGGCCGCGGACCAGGTGCGGCAGGGGCGCGACTGGGGGCGTAGTCGCCGCGCGCCGGCTTCGGCATTTCCCCCGGCGCGGCGACCTGGACGGTGCGGCGGGCGGCCCTGGGTCATGGCCGGCGGGGCAGCGCCCCGGGGTGCCGAGCTGCTGGCTTTCGCGAGGTTCCGGGAGTTGAGCAAGCGGCCGCTCGCCTATGGCTATGGCCCGCGCGGCCTGCGGGAGCTGCGCCAGCGCGAATTCGGCCGCCTGGCAGGTGAGGCCGGCGGGGCACCTGTGTGGGGTGGAGCGCTGGTGTTCTGGGACTGGCGGGGAAGGAGCTTTGGCTCTAGGTGGGAGCACCTCGCCTTGTCTGGGGTACATTTTGGATCGAAAGACCTGGCGGGACGTGTGCACGCATCCGCTTCGTGGACCCAGCTCCCTGAGGTCCCACCTGCAGCCCAAGATTTCTTGCTACTCTAGCTCCTTAGACTTTCCCGTGGTGCAGGACCAGCCTGCGCCTTACTCACCTGTCCTCGCCCTCCGCGGGCCAGGCTTAGTGATTCCTTTTCCCCGTGGGTGCCACGAGACCTCTGGCTCTAAAGGTCCGACTGGAGCCAGGCTTGCAAAATGCACGAATGTCCGGCTCCCCTGACTGGCGTTCAGGTGTTCGCCTGAGGACAGGTGCAGTGAGTGCGTGGTCAAGTGTGCCGCATTGGGACCGCGACTGGGGGGGGGGGGTCGCGGGGTTGGGACCGAGAGGCTACAGCTTCTGGAGACTGAGTTCACAGCATCTTTTATTTTCGAAGTCTCATTTTTCTCACTCGTGCAGTCAGAACAATATCTCTGAACTCTAGCTCGCTGGGGGACTCGCATTAGCAAACCGTGCAGTGTGCGCTTTAAGTAGAGGACAAGCGGGTGAATTGGACATCGGGACCGGGGTCACGTCGTCCCTTTGATTTCCGCAAGGCAGATCAGGCTGGTTAAATTTTAAATGGCGGGGCACCTGGGTGACTCAGTCGGCAAGCGTCGACCTTAGTCTGGGTCACGATCTCAGGGTCCTGGGATTGAGCCCCACATCCGGCTTCCTGCGGGGACCCTGCTTCTCCCTCAGTCGGCCGCTCCCCCTGCTTGTTCTCTCTCTCTGTGTCAAATAAATAAAATTTTTAAAAATAAAGAAATAAATCTGAAATCGAGCTCCATCTGGCCCCGTGGCCTTGCCCAGCAGAGCGAGACGGCTCCCACACTGGTGGGGACTCACTCTTTTGCCAGGGACCTCGTGTGGGGGGTCTTTCTGGAGCCTTAGAACCACCAGCGTGTTGAGCAGGGGTGGACGGAAGTGCACCAGGCACCGGGATTTGAGGTGTACGTTCTCTGCCCTGATCAACAACAAGTGACTGCTCCCCAGCTTGTGGGAGAAGAGCAACAGTGATGTCACAGGTCATACAGTTACCTGCAGCTCATGTCCACTCTTATGTTTGGGATAGTGACTGTTTTGTCCCTTTGGGGGCTTTCAGGGCTGTGGCCTCTCCTCTGTGTATCTCCTGTCTGTATTTTAGTATGGACTCTCAGGAGGGAGAGAAGGAACCTTCTGGCAGCCTCTCAACTACCTCCCCATTCTTCCCAGTGCCACATTCACCCCCGGGGGAGACAGCATCTCACCCCTATGCTTCCGCCTGCTGTCCCTGACAGTTTTTTTTTTTTTTTAAGATTTTATTTATTTACCTGACAGAAATTACAAGTAGGCAGAGAGGCAGAGGGGGAAGCAGGCTCCCTGCTGAGCAGAGAGCCCGATGAGGGGCTGGATCCCAGGACCCCGAGATCATGACTGGAGCAGAAGGCAGAGGCTTAACCCACTGACCCACCCAGGCACCCCCCCTGACAGTTTTTATTATGGAAATTTCCACTCGAGGAATAGACTGGTACAATGAACAGGTGTGCAGGAAGGGAAGGAGGCTCCCTATTCTTTTGAAGGAAATCTCCGAGGCTGTTACCGTGCAGTCCATAATTATTTCTGCACCACACCTGCTTAATCCCCTAATCCCTCCAGTTTTGGTCCCTCACACCCATCACTGGCTGACCTCTCCCCTCAACACTATGCTGGGAAAGTAGAGGGATGTTCTGGGCCCCTGTTTGTTTCACTTGTGTCCCTCAGAGAACAGCACCTTTTCCCTTAAATGTAAAATCTAAATGTGATAGCCAGGATCCGAGGCCGGCCTTCAGAGCCCCTTTAACATCTACTGTACTGTATTCTGTCTGTCAGTCTATCTATCTAGTGCAAGTTCCCAGCATTTCCTCTACATTAATAGTTCAAGTAGATTTTTTTGTGGATTAAATCCATCCCTCCCACAGCTGGGAGTCTTGGAACATATCCACTTTTTTTTTTTTTTTCTCTCATGGGGCAGGGAAAAACAAACAAAACAAAATAACATAACTTTCACCTCCTCTTCTTTTCCCCTTTTTCCTTCCCCTTATAGTTTTTGTGTAGGTTTGAGAATTTATCTGGTTTAAGAGTAGCTCTAGAAAATTACATGCTTAATCTTTAAGTGCTGAAATGTTTTGCCCAACCAGTTGGATGGGAATTCCCTTGTCTTGGTGAAGGGAGACTATTGCATTTTCAGATGTGGTTCAGATGGTTCTTTTTTTTTTTTAAGATTTTATTTATTTATTTGACAGATAGAGATCACAAGTAGGCAGAGAGAGAGAGGAGGAAGCAGGCTCCCTGCTGAGCAGAGAGCCTGATGCTATGTGGGACTCAATCCCAGGACCCTGAGATCCTGACTGGAGCAGAAGGCAGAGGCTTTAATCCACTGAGCCACCCAGGTGCCCTGGTTTAGATAGTTCTTGAAGTCACAGGGTGCTAGTGGATGGCCACTCACCCTGTGTGGGGCTGAGAACTGGAAGACACCCTGGAATTTCCTTCTTAAAGACTCAATGCCAGTGGGTTTGGGGTTCATTTGCCTGCTTCTTCTGTTAATAGCCAAATCTCATGAAGAGTTACTGTGTGCCAAGCACTAAACTGGGCTCTGTATACCAACTCTTTTAACCCCCATCCCACCTGCAGATAAAGTAACAGGGATCCAGAATGGCTGGTGGTAGAGCAAGATTCAATCAAGTTGCCTGACTTGGATTCCTCCCTGTTAACCACGATGCTAGCTGACTTCTGCCAAGATCAGAACTCTACCTAATCTAACACAGCTGCCCAGTTTTGCAAAACTAGTCACTGGACCAAAGGCCAAAGCAGCTTCTCCCAAAAGCTTCCTGGTCCTGCAGAGGACCATGGCCAAGGCGTGCGGTGCTCCCTCGGGGCCCCTCAGATTTCACACATGCAGTGTCTTCACATAAGCATCTCCCTGATGCCCAGGGGTACAAAAGCCTTTCTTTTGGAGTAGGGCATTTGTATTTCTGAATCTTCAGTTAACGAGAACATTATTCTAAAGCTAACTTTTTGGACTAGGTAGTACATTTACACAGCACTCAAAAGGTGCCAAGGGAGGGTAAAGAATGGCCGAGGGGCACCTAGGTGGCTCACTGTGTTGAGCCTCTGCCTTCCGCTCAGGTCATGATCTCAGGGTCCTGGGATTGAGCCCCATATTGGGCTCTCTGCTCAGCGGGGAGCCTGCTTCCCCCCTCTCTCTGCCTATTTGTGATCTCTCTCTTTCTGTCAAATAAATAAATAAAATCTTTAAAAAAAAAAGAATTAAAAAAAAAAAAAAAGAATGGCCAGGGAGCCCCCTCTCCTTCCAGCCACAGCTCTGGTCAGCTCTGAGTTAGCTCCTGCCCCTTACGTCCTGTGTGCCTTTTGAGTTGTTGTTTGTATTTATATAAGTGTGTACAATTTTTTTTTTATTACACAATTCAGCTGTAACATCTGTTACCTGACATAGTTTACATTTATTTGTTCATGGTCTTTCTCTGTTGCTCTCATACTAGCTTCTCTTTGGTCTACTGTTATGTCTCCATTACTTAGAACAGTGCCAGGTACACCGTTAGTACTCAATAAACATTTCTCAAATGTAAAAATACAAGAAACTAGGAAATAAAAGGAAACTTAATTGACCTGATAAAGGCTATCTAAAAAAAAAAAAAAATCCACACCTAACAGCATACTGGCGAAAGACTGATAGCTTTAATGCTACAATCAGGAATAAGACAAGGATATCTGGTTCACCACTTCTACTCAGCATTGTACTAGTGGTTCTAACCAGGACAATTGGGTAAGAAAATAAAATAAAATTTGCTCAAACTGGAAAGGAAGAAGTGAACCATCTCTATTGGTGGATAATACAATCTTGTATATAAAAAATCCTAAAGAATCCAGATATAAAACCGTTAGAACTAAAAAACAAGTTCAGCAAGGTTACAGGATATAAGCACAATATACAAACAGCAAACTGATTTCCATACACTAGCAAGAAAATGAAATAAAGGAAAGCATCAGAAAGAATAAAATACATAGGGATAAATTTATCAGAAGAAGTACAAGACTTAAACACTGAAAACTACAAAATAACATTGAAAGACATAAAGGAAGACCTAAATCATCGGAAAGACACCCTGTATTCAAGAATTTGAAGACTAAATATTGCTAAGATGGCAAAAGTCTTAAACTGACCTACGGATTGAATATCATTCCAACTGAAATCCCAGGTACCTTTTTGCAGCAATTGACAAATTGATCCTAAATTTCATACAGAAATGGAAGAGAACCAGAATAGCCAAAGCAAACTTGGGAAAGAACAAAGTTAAAAGACTCACATTTCCCATAAAAGTAAAATATGTAAAATTTATATTAAGTTACAGCAATCGAGACAGCATGGTGTCGGTATGAGCACAGATGCATAGAACAGTGGAATACAACTGTGAGTCCAGAAAGAAGCCCATATGTCTATGGTCAACTGCTTTTTTTTTTTTTTTAATTTATTTGACAGAGATTACAAGTAGGCAGAGAGGCAGGCAGGGCGGGAAGGGGAAGCAGGCTCCCTGCTGAGCAGAGAGCAGGATGCAGGGCTCAATCCCAGGACCCTGGGATCATGGCTTGAGTCATGATCAGAGGCTTAACCCGATGACCAGCCCAGGTGCCCCTGTCAACTGTTTTTTAACAGAAGGCCAAGAGGAAAGAACAGTCTCTTCAACTAATAGGGTTGGGGCAGCTGGTATCCACATGCAAAAGAATGAAACTGGACCCCTACCTCACACTGTATTCAAAAATTAACTGAAAATGAATGAAAGTCCTAAACATAAGAGCTAAAAATATAAAACTTCTAGAAGAAACCATCTCAATAATTATCAGGACCTTGGATTAGGCAGTGGTTTCTTATGACACTAAAATTATAAGCAGTAGTAACAACAGGAATAGACAAATTGGACTTCATCAAAATTAATAACTTTTAGGGGCACCTGGCTGGCTCAGTCGTTAAGCATCTGCCTTCAGCTCAGGTCATGATCTCAGGGTCCTGGGATCAAGGCCTCCATCAGGCTCCCTGCTCAGCAGGAAGCCTGCTTCTCTCTCTCCCACTTCCCTTGCTTGTGTTCCTCTCTTGCTGTGTCTCTCTCTGTCAAATAAATAAATAAAATCTTTCTTAAAAAATTAAAAACTTTTATGCTTCAATAGACACCAGCAAGAAAGATAACTGGCCAAATGGGAGAAGACAGATGTCTCCATAAAAACTTGCATGTAAATAGTAATGGCAGAATCACTAATAATAGACAATAAATGGGAACAACCCACATGTTTATAATTGGGTGAATGAATAAGTAAAATATGATGCCTCCTACTATTCAGTCATAAAAAGGAATGACATGAAAATGTCACAATATTACACTAAGTGAAAGAAGTCAGACCCTAAAAGAACACATAGTATATGATTCCATTTATATGAAATGCCCAGAATTGGCAAATCTGTACAGATAGAAAGTAGATTGATTAGTGGTTGCCAAGGGCTGGTGTTGGATGGATTGGGGAGTGACTGGTAATGGGTATGGGTTCTCCTTTGGGGATGAATGGAAGTGTTGTAAAATTAGATAGTGGTGATGGTCACACAATTTTGTGAATCTGCTAAAAGTACCACTAAAGGGGTGAATTTTATGGTATGGGAATTATATCTCAATAAAGCTGTTATAAAGAACAAAAATCCATTCTGCAAAAAACAACAAAAAACACTTAAGTGAATGGAAGAAGGAATGAATCTATTTACATTGTATGTTCTGGAAAGTATATCTCAGAGTTTGCTCCATGTCAGTACTTATAAAGTACTAGATGGAGGTGCAAGAATTCTTTGTTTTAAACACATGTTCAAGGATATTTATGTCATTTCCAATCTCCTGCTATTGCAGACAATGCTGTTGCACTAAATGTCCTCATGTGCAGACCATTTCACAAACCATGGGTATTTATAAGATGAATTCCCAGGAGAGGGATTGCTAGGTCAAAGAGGGTTTGCATTTTATTTATTTAATTTATTTAAAAAAATTTTTTTAAGATTTATTTATTTGACAAAGGGAGAGATTACAAGTAGGCAGAGAGGCAGATGGGGGAGGGGGAAGCAGGCTTCCTGCTGAGCAGAGAGCCCGATGCAGGGCTCTATCCCAGGACCCTGAGATCATGACCTGAGCTGAAGGCAGGGCCCTAACCCACTGAGCCATCCAGGTGCCCTGTATTTTATTTTATTTTTTAAAGATTTATTTATTTATTTGAGATAGAGAGAGAGAGAGAGAGAGAATCTTAAGCAGACTCCCTGCTGAGTTTGGAACCCCACGTGAGGCTCGATCCCAGGACCCTGAGCTCATGACCTGAGCTGAAACCAAGAGTCAGATGCTTAACCAACTGTCCCACCCAGTTGCCCTGTGGGTTTGCCTTTTAAACCATGACTGATATGGCTAGATTGCTGTCCCTGAAGTTGTATCAGTGTAGCCTCCTACTGGCCATGAACCAGAGGGCCTGTTTTCCAGCACCTTGCCCACATGGTGAATTATCCAACTTTCTGGTTTCCACCGTCTGATGGGAAAACCTCGGTATCTCACGCTCATCTAAATTTGTTTGTCTCTGTTATGAGAGAGGCTAGAAAGATCATTTATGATCCTAGTATTGTCCGAAGCTCTCAGAGCTATTCTAGGGTTGAAGGATGTAGAGTTTACTGTGGGAAAGCAGGATCAGGGCTTGGCTGCCAGGGAGTGGCAAGGAAATCCCAGGGAGGAAGTGAGTCATAATATGAAATTGCTTTACCGTCATGAATCACAAATGTCTGTTGGGCTTCTCCTCTGTGTGGGATGTTGTTCCAGGGTCACAAAAGAGCTGGCTAATCAGGAATGCTTGCTCCGGGCTCTAAAGGTCATTCGATAGGGAAAGTGCAACCTTCCATTGCTCATGCCTCCACTTGGATTAAGGAGCTCCTGTCAAGATGCTGGGAGAAGTCAGTAGCCTGGGGGCGGGGGGGTCCCTCCTGCTCAAGCTCACATGGTCCCGGGTCTAGGTGAAATGAGTGGAACACGTCTGAAAAATAACCACAGCTTTATTCTGTGTTTTCTTTCAGGAACTGTCTACCTTGATCATGCAGGAGCCACACTGTTCCCCCAGAGTCAGCTCATGAGCTTCACGAATGATCTCATGGAAAATGTTTATGGTAAAGAACAACACACCAAAACTGATTTTTGCGCTGAATGGGAGCCAACTGCATACAGCTGATACATCCCAGCTTACTAAATGTTGGATTAATCGAGCAGAACTGTGCTCAGCATGCAGAGTTGAATGGGCCCCATGGGAGTGGGGGGTCAGCGAGCCCTTGGGTCCATCCCTCTAACACATGCACTGCCAGTATAGGAAGAATTAGCTCAAGGACACACAGTTTACTTCCAGAAGGAGGAGTCAGTGTCAGAAGGGCACAGAGGTATGAAGGTGCTGTGTTTATGGCAGAATGGCCCTGTGGGACAGGACAGTACAGAATGTAGAGTGGTGGGAAAGACATGCATTCTTTTTTTTTTTTAAGGTTTATTTACGTATTTGAGAGAGAGAGAGAGAGAGAGAGCGAATAAACAGGGGGGAGGGGCAGAGGGCGAGGGAGAGAGAGAGCCTCAAGCAGACTGAGTGCAGAGCCCGATGTAGGGCTGGATCTCAGGACCCTGAAAGATAGGACCTAAGCCAAACCAAGAGTCGGGGCTTAACTGACTGCCCCACCCAGGTGCCCCCATTCTTTCATTCCTTAAGTGTGTGTTGGGCCACTTTGCTGTGCGGGGCACGGTGCTATCTCGGACACGAAGGAAGCACAGTCCCTGCCTTTGTGGGCTGTGACCTAGTCAACGCAGGATCCTAATCAAGTGAGCTCCCAGTAAATGTGAATGGCCAGCTGTGTGAAGGGCTGTGGACCAAGGGCGTGCGATCCCATGGGGGTGTGTGGCTGCAGTGTTGGCAGTGTGAGGGTCAGAAAAAGCTGCCTTCGGAGTGGGGTGAGTCCTGGAGGATGAGCAAGGGAAGGAGGAGCCGCGGGGGTTTCCAGGCAGAGGTAACTGCAGGAACCCTAGCGGTTCCAGGAATTAGCCCCGCCCCTGAGCGCAGAGGAGGGGCGGAGAGTGGAGGAGGTCTGAAAGGAGTGGTAGGGAGGGGTTTGAAGGAGCTCCGCGGACTTTGATGTTCATTCTAGAAATCGTGGGCAGTCGGTGTGGATAGCGCATGAGGAGGAGGAGATAAGCCTGGCCAGGGAGCCTGAACTAAAGGCAGAGAAGCAGATGCAGCAGCCGGGAGAGCGGCGAGTGCCCTGGTGTCCCGAACACGCACTCACTTCAGCCACTGCTCCATACCTTTGAGCTTCACCCTCCCTCTCCATCCACTGTACGCCCCCCCACCCCCCCGCAAAGAGGGTACAGGTGCGGATAGCAAACAAGCTAACCTACAGGTTCTGTCCTCGCTCCTGTTTTAGAGGTGAGGAAAGTGGGTCCCGGATAGGGTAGGTGGCTAACCTGCGGCCACGCAGTTAGGACGCGCCTGAGCTGGGGGAGCGGGGTCTCCAGGCACCTGGGCTCCAGAGCACCGGACCCCCTCAGTTCAGGACCGTCCTCTCGTGCTGTGCCGCACTAAGATCCTGGGCAGCCAGCAGATCTTTAAATCTGGGGAATAGCTTCTAGGAGAGATGCCAGTGAGGGACCCTATCGCAATCTTGATCCATGATTTGCGAAGAGATCCACAAGTCTTGAACCTTTGCAAGAGCTGTAACTGTAGGATTGGTGCGGAGAGGGGACAGCATTTAGACTGTAGGTTGTGCTGATGGTGTGGAGCTAAAAACCAGCGCTTTGAGAGGCAGTGAGGGTAAGTACTAAGTCTGGTTACCAGTTACTAGTACACTGGTTACTAGTGCATATGGAAGAGGATCATTGATAGCTTTGGTAGCCAGAGATCTAGTACGACCAGATGGCATGGTATGAGAAAAGAAACCCTAAAACAAAGAATGTCAAGACTACGATATGGCGTGCCTGTGGTCCTGCTCCCAAGAAATGCTGGTGCCCAATGCATGCATGTCTCGCCCCTCGGAGGTCTGTGTCCTTGTCTGGGGGCCGTGTTCTGAGGGAGGTGGTGATACTTCAGGACACACTCATGTGGAACCTGAAGAGAGGAGGAAAACTGGAGATTGATAAGTGAAATTAGAAGAGGACTTAGCCTTGAGAATGGGCTAAGGGGAGATGTGATGGCCCGCTTCACATACTTGGGGGAATTAGATGTGTTTCTGCAGAACAGCAGGGGTGTGAACCCAGGACAGCAGTTAACTCAATTAAGTGGAGTTCATGGCTCTGTCTCATGCTTGAGGGAGAGGGCAGCCTTCAGAGTTTATTCTCCTTGATTCCTTGGAATGATCAGAACCACCTGTCAGGGAGCCTGCAGAAAAGGTTCTTACATTGGCCTGGTTGCCTATGAGCTGACTTCCAGCTCCAGTGTTCTTCCTGGGTCCCATCTCGATCTAGGGGATTGGTTTATTTATTTAAAAAGTTGTTTAGGGCACCTGAGTGACTTAGTCGTTAAGCATCTGCCTTTGGCTCAGGTCATGATCCCATGGTCTTGGGATCAAGTCCTGCATCGGGCTCCCTGCTCTGCGGGAAGCCTGCTTCTCCTTCTCCTAGTCCCCCTGCTCGTGTTCCCTCTCTCGCTGCGTCTCTCTGTCAAATAAATAAATAAAATCTTTAAAAAAATTAAAAAAATGTTTAAGAATGGAGTTGTATTTCATGCATCATAAAATTCATCTATTTCAAATGTACAATTTAATGATTTAGGCAACTTTACCAAAGGTGCCACTATCACAATAAATCATTTAGAACATTTTTGTTCCCCCAATAAGATCTCTGATGCCTGTTTATAGTTCAGCCCTGTTGCCCCCTCAGTCTCGGGCAACCACTAATTCACAACTTTCAACCTCTTTCTATATCTTTGCTGGACGTTGCCTATATAAATGGACTCATAAACTATGTGACCCCTTAGGATGTTTTTGTGGCTGACTCACGGCATAGCCCGTAGATTGTTACTTTCTGTTATGAATACTTACCCGTTGTGTGGCTACACCCCATCTTGGCTCTCTGTTCATCAGCTGAGGGGCATTCATGTTGTTCCCAGAATTTGGCTTTACCAATAAGCCTGCCCGTGAACATTCCCGAGCATGAATCTTTGTGTGGAGATGTGTTTTCATTTCCCTAAAGTATAGAGATGTGGTATTGCTGGGTCACAGAGTAGTTGTAGGGTCACCTTTTTCAGAAACCGAAGGAGAGGGTTTGGGAGGAACAAGAGGGGAGAAACAGAGGTAGTGACTTGATGGCTTTGTCTCTGTAACCTGCCAGGTAATCCTCACAGCCAGAATATCAGCAGCAGGCTCACCCACGACACCGTGGAGCACGTGCGCTACAGGTGAGTGGCAGGCAGTCCCAGGTGGGGGGACTTCTTTCCTACCCCCCACGGCATCCCACCAAGGTTCCAGGTGTTCTGTGTTGTCTAAGGAAGATCACATTCAGCTAAATGGTCACTAAATGGTCAGAGTGATGACCGTTAGGGGCAGAGGACAGGAAGGTCAGAGTGAGTAGGTAGGAAGCAGGGCAGCCCCGAAGCACAGGCAGGTGGCCTTGAGGTGTGCTCGGGTGTTGTATGTGGCTCCAGGCTGAGGCCAGAGTGCCTGGGGGCCAGAGGGACCACAAGGGACCCAGTTTCCTAAGCCTCATTTTCATTTTCATTTTTATTTTTTTAAAGATTTTTTATTTATTTCTTTGACAGACGGAGATCGCAAGCAGGCAGAGAGGCAGGCAGAGAGAGAGAGAGAGAGGAGGAAGCAGGATCCCCGCTGAGCAGAGAGCCCCATGCAGGGCTCAATCCAAGGACCCTGGGATCACGACCTGAGCCAAAGGCAGAGGCTTTAACCCACTGAGCCAGCCAGCTGCCCCTTAAGCCTCATTTTCAGAGAGAGGAAAAAAGGTTTTCTTTGGGCTTTCTTTTCATGTGTCATTAGGCATTATTCATCAACAACCCCCCCGCCAAACTTTTTACTAGTATGTGCAGCTTGAAATAGCTCTTTGTATTTTTCCACATGTAATAGTTTTTAGTAAGTAGTTTCCAAGTGGTGCCTAAAGTTACTTGAATTGCTATAATTTCAAGTGATTTCTAATTGGCAAGGGAGGCTGGGCTGCTAATATTAAAGGCACCGTGAAGCCAGTTGGTGCGGGAGCCAGAGAGCAGACTGAGGAAAGAGTGTTTTCTTTTTCTTTTGTGTTTTAAAGATTTTATTTATTTATTTGACAGAGAAAGAGATCACAAGCAGGCAGAGAGGAAGGCAGAGAGAGAGAGAGAGAGAGGAGGAAGCAGGCTCCCTGCTGAGCAGAGAGTCCGATGCGGGGCTTGATCCCAGGACCCTGAGACCATGACCTGAGCCGAAGGCAGAGGCTTAACCCACTGAGCCACCCAGGCGCCCCGAAAGAGTGTTTTCTAGCATTAAGGTTTTGTGGATTTTTATCTTTTTTTTTTTTTTAAAGATTTATTTATTTGAGAAAGACAGAGCACCGTGGGGAGGGGAAGAGGGAGAGAAAGAATTCCAAGCAGATTCCCTGCTGAGCACAGAGCACAGATGCTGCGCCCACTCTGGGCTGGATCTCATGATCTTGAGATGGTGACCTGAGCTGAAACCAGGAGTGCGATGGAGTGACTGCGCCACCCAGGCGCCCCTCAGACTTTTATCTTCTCTGTGGAGGGTGGGGACGTGGGAGGTGGAGCTGCTTTTGCCAGTTGGACCCTGTTTGTCATCTCCTCGTGCAGCCGGCTCTGCCCCCGTCCTCACTTTGCCATCGTGGCAAAGCCGACTTGGGTTTTTCCCTAAAAATGAAGGCAGAGAGAGGTTCTGTGTGGTAGAGATACAGCTGCTCTGACCATGTGACACCGTGAGACCCCGGAGCTGGCATGACACTTTGCTTCTTCCAGGATTCTGGCGCACTTCCACACCTCCCCAGAGGACTACAGCGTCATTTTCACGGCAGGGAGCACAGCTGCTCTTAAACTGGTGGCAGAGGCCTTCCCGTGGGTGTCCCCTGGCCCGGAGAGCTGCGGAAGCCGGTTCTGTTACCTCACGGACAGCCACACCTCCGTGGTGGGCATGAGGAAGGTCACCATGGCCATGAACGTCACCTCTGTCCCAGTCAGGCCAGAGGACATGTGGTCAGCGGAGACTGGGGGCATGGATGCCGGTGACCCCGACAGCCAGCTTCCACATCTCTTTTGTTACCCTGCGCAGAGTAATTTTTCTGGAACCAGATACCCCCTGTCCTGGATAGGAGAGGTCAAGGCTGGGCGGAGGTGCCCGGTGAGCGTGCCCGGGAAGTGGTTCGTGCTGCTCGATGCGGCCTCCTATGTGAGCACCTCCCCTTTGGACTTGTCGGTTCACCAGGCCGACTTTGTCCCCCTCTCCTTCTATAAGATCTTTGGATTCCCCACCGGCCTGGGCGCTCTGCTGGTGAATAATCGTGTGGCTCCTCTGCTGAGGAAAACCTACTTTGGAGGGGGCACAGCCTCTGCATACCTCGCAGGGGAAGACTTCTACATCCCACGGCACTCAGTGGCTGAAAGGTAATCTCACCTTGGGGGTGGCTGGTAGCCGTTCAACAAGGCGAGGGGCAGGCCTGTGTCGCCTATAGGATTATGCGAGGGACCAGACTGGGAGACTGGGGTCAGAGATCCAGGTGGAGGGGGGGGATTACAGGGATGGAAGCTGGTGGCAGGGCTCAGATCTGGGAGGCGGAGGTTGGCTGGAGTGTGCCCCAGGCCCCCATTTGTGGGCTTCTCCACAGCTATGAGAGGACAAGGACTGCGAGGGGGGAGGTGATGGGCTCTCGGGAGAGGAAAGGTGGTGTGGGGAGCCATGGCCCGGGTGTTGATGGCTGGGACCCATCAGGTTGAAGGCGTAAGAGGGTGAAAATGACAGCTGACCCAGGGTTCTACTGGGGCCAACAGTGAAGAATACTATGGAATAGGGACAGGGAGCTAGTCCCCCTGCAGGTGCCTCAGAAGGCAGGGGGCCTGGATGGGAGGGTGTGTCAGATCCCCCACAGACCCAGGGGCAGACTCAGGGTTCTGCAGGTAGGGCCGTGTCCCCTGCAGTAGAGTCACTGGTCAAGTGTGTAGGCCCCAGAACTGGATTGCTGGCGGGAGAATCCTGGCTTTATCACACGCCAGCTGTGGGGACATGGACATGTGACTTGATCCCTGAACCTCATGTTCTTCTTTCTTTTCAAGAAACAATCTTTTTTTAAATGATTTTATTTATTTATTAGAGAGAGAGAGAGAGAGCACAAGTAGGGGGAATGGCAGAGGGAGAGGGAGAAGCAGACTTCCTGCTGAGCAGGGATCTCCGCGTGGGGCTCTATCCCAGAACCCTGAGATCATGACCTGAGCCGAAGGCAGACGCTTAACTGACTGAGCCACCCAGGTGCCTGTGGTGTCTCTTTTACTTAGGACTCCTCTGTAGTTGGGGGATTCTGAAACAGGAACAATAATGTAAAACATTTTGTATCCAAGTGTGAGAATATAACAAGTAATACAACCAAGTGAGAAGCGAATGATAGGCACACATCATATAAATTAAAGGCAGATCACAATGACAACTCAAACTTTATCAAGCCAATAGGAGCATCTGAAGGCCAGGAGAAGTGGGGCAGCTCGGACTGGGCCCTGTGTGGGTGGGCTGGGCAGGATCAGACCTCTTTCCTTCGATTGGGTGGATTGCTTCTCAGCAGGTGCTGCCCCAAGATTCCCACAAAACTGAAAATATTTACTTACCGCTAGAAGCCTCATTTTTTTATTGTGAACTTAGGACTAGAACTCAAGAGAATTAATACTCAAAACCTAAATGTTTTTTGAACATGTACCCAGACCATGCTCTGAATCGTTTTATAACCCAAGGAGATACAACCTTTGATGGAAACAGCAAACTTCCTTTCCCCCAAGAGTCTATTAATTATTGATTAATAAATGATTATTATCAATCAGTAACCTAAGTCATTATAGGATAATAATGTTTAATTTAATGAAGATTATTTGGTGATTAATCAATTAGTAATTGATTCATTATCAACTAATTCATTTTTTAAATTATATTTTATTTTATTTTTTTTTTAAAGATTTTATTTATTTATTTGACAGAGAGAGATCACAAGTAGGCAGAGAGGCAGGCAGAGAGAGGAGGAAGCAGGCTCCCTGCCGAGTGGAGAGCCCAATGCAGGGCTCCATCCCAGGACCCTGGGATTGTGACCTGAGCTTGAGCTGAAGGCAGAGGCTTTAACCCACTGAGCCACCCAGGCGCCCCAACTAATTCACTATTATTATTTTTTAAAGATTTTATTTATTTATTTGACAGAGAGAGATCACAAATAGACAGAGAGGCAGGCAGAGAGAGAGGAAGGGAAGCAGGCTCTGTGCTGAGCAGAGAGCCCGATGCGGGGCTCAATCCCAGGACCCTGGGATCATGACCTGAGCTGAAGGCAGAGGCTTTAACCCACTGAACCATCCAGGTGCCCCCCCAACTAATTCATTATTAATTCACAATTGATTCATTATTGTCAGTTCATATACTTGATTCATAATTATTAATTATTAGTATATTGGATTTATAAAGAAATTAACATTTCAGTAACAATTTCTTAAAAGATTTTATTTATTTATTTGACAAACAGAGATCACAAATAGGCAGAGAGGCAGAGAGAGAGAGAGGAGGAAGCAGTCTCCCTGCTAAGCAGAGAGCCCAATTTGGGGCTCGATCCTAGGACCCTGGGATCATGACCTGAGCCAAAGGCAGAGGCTTTAATCCACTGGGCCACCCAGGCACCCCTGGTTACTCAGTAACAATATTTTGAGCAAATCTCATCTCTAGAATATTAAAATACAAAGCACAATATTTCCACTGAAAACTTTGACTTGCTTTGATAACTCACAGCCAGGCTCATAGAGGCTACGGTTTCCCACCATCTTTATGCCCGTGCTCTCTGAAACTTCCTGTCTCCAAGCTTCCCCCTTCTGTGGCAGCCTGAGGACTGACTCTGCTTGTCAGAGCCTGGGTCCCATCCTGTCCCTGCTCTCTGCTCAGAGCCATTCAGACACATGATATCTCCCCAAGGTAGACATCCTCTGACTTTATTTCCTACCACTCTCCACCTTGCCAGCCTATTCCCAGCTCATTCCCAGCTCCTGCACACCTGCTCCCGACTGCTCTGATGTTCTTACCATGCAGGAAGTGTGCCTGCCTCTGCCTGCTTGGGGTCTTTACTGCAACCTCTCCCTGGGACGCCATTTCCCTCTGAAGCTGTGAACTCGGTTTCAAAAATGATACTTGGGTTCCATAGCATTTTGAATGATACGGTTTCCAAGATGATATGTGGTTCCATAGAGTTTGGGATCATCGACACGTAGTACTTGGATCACGCTTAACTGATGCCCTGTCAGTGGTGTTCTCCTGGGTCAAGGGCAGCATTTCAAGAGCCCGAAGCACTTGAGGTTTTGTCCAAGTATTCATGGGGTCAGGATAACATTTCTCAAGGTGGTGACTGTCTTTTAGCTCCTTTTATTACCAGGGCCATCCTCTCCCAAGAAAGCTGCCAAGCAAGCTGGCCCCATGGGTCTCAGTGTGCAAAGCCCTCTGTCCTGACGGGGAGGCGCGAGCAGTGGTTTATAAGGCAACAGAGAGAAGGTATTCAGAGATTATGGCTAAGCCTAAAATCAGAACCTTGTTACACACCACAAAACACTCATGGAGATGTTGGTCACAGCTTGACCTTGTTTCCCTCAACACTGTTACAGGTTTGAAGATGGCACCATCTCGTTCCTTGACGTGATAGCACTAAAACACGGATTTGATGCCCTAGAGCACCTCACAGGTCAGTGGAGCCTTTCATTTGCTCCTGGAATCGAGAGAAAAGAGAGGGTCTGTGTGAGTGGCTGGCCCTTGGCAGTTGAATAGTTGAAGCTCATTCTCAAGAACTTCTAAATGATTTCTGAGGCAAGAGCAAGAGACCGAGCTGCCTTTTTTTTTTTTCCTTTTTTGCCAGTTAAAAGAACATTTTAACAAGTAAGAGATATTATAAATCAGGAGATGCGTACTTTCACAGCCGCAGAGAGGCCATCCTTGGTCCCTCGACTGGGAATGGTTATAGGTCCTGAGACCTTAATCAGCTGATCCCTTGCTGGGCCATCCCTCTTCTCCCATGGGGGAGCTATATGAAGAGCCCACTTTGCCCATGAGGAGCTCATACTCTGAGAGGTTAAATGCCTTCCCCAGGGTCAGGGAACTTGTGATTGAGAGAATAGGGATTTCAACCTAGGCCATAACAATGCTCAACCCTGGGGTATCTGAATGGCTCAGTTGGTTAAGTGTCTGTCTTCAGCTCAGGTCATGATCTCAGGGTCCTGGGATCCAGCCCCACATAGGGCTCTCTGCTCAGTGGGGAGCCTGCTTCTCCCTTTGCCTGCTGCTCCGCCTGCTTGTGCGTGCACGCGCTCTCTCTCTCTGTCAAATAAATAGATAAATCTTAAAAAAAAAAATTGCCTAACCCCGAGCCCCAACCACTGTCTCTGCTGTGATGCATGTCTTCTTTCCTGGCAAGTGTTTGGGGAGTGTGGGCAGGTGGGGGACATTCACTATAGGCTGACAAGCACACGGAGACCATGTCCCATCGTGTGGAGCTTGACACAAGGGCATACAGGACTAGGAGAGCCTCTGACTCAAGTGCCAGGCATCCACCATCCTGTTGTACTCCTGGACACTCCTCCAGAGGCTGAGCTTCTAGAACTGGGTGGTACTGCTTGAACCCATCCATATGGAAGTGGAGTTGTGGTGAACCAGGGATGTGGCTCAATGATTAGGTAGTCACAATAATGAGAGCCTTCATGTTCTCAACCTGAGCCCAATACTGGAGGCAGATGGAATTCACGAGAGGGAGTGGGGTAGCCTTGATGGTAAGGCAGGAAGGTGACTGGACATCATCCAGGACAAAGAGGAGATAATGAAGACAAGCTTTGAGCAATGAGCACTTTTCCAAGGAAAGATATTAACAGAGACCACAGGACAAGCTACAGGTCTGATGGGGGCAGGGGCAATAAAGCAAACCCTAATTATTCCTACTTGTTTGTTCCTTTGGAAAAAAATGTGATGAAATGCCTGTAACATAAAATGCACTGTTTTAGCCAATTTAAGTGTACATTTCAGTGGCATTAAATACATTGACATTGTTAAGCAGCCATCCAGCCCTGACACCGTCTCTAGAACTTCTGCAACATCACACACTGAACTGTACCATTCGACAGTAACTCCCCTTTTCCCCTTCCCCCAGTCCCGGGGAATCTCGATTTTCCTTTCTGTCTCTGAATTTCCTATTCTAGGCACTTATATAAGACACAGTACTTGTCCTTTTGTGTCCGGCTTATTTTACATGTTTTCAAGCTTCATCCATGTTGTAACACGTATCCTTAATTGATTTGGATGGTGTTAAAATGATTTAAATATTAAAAGAAACAGCAAAAAGAAACGATCCTTTTAAAGATAAAATTGTGACCTGACTGGCACAGTTGGTGGAGCATGTGACGCTGGATCTCAAGGTTATGACTTCGAGCCCCACGTTGGGTATAGAGATTACTTAAAACTAAAATTAAAAAAATTAAAAAAACCTAATAAAGATAAAATTGTACATTTTTGCCATCTGTAACCCAAGGGTCTAAATTAAAAAAAGAAAAAAGAAGGATGACAAAAATTCTTGTGGAAGTTTCCACAGAACAACAACAGTCAGATGTTGGGCAGGGCCCCAGATCTACACATTAATATGTCCAGTCCCACACACTATCTATGGGTATTTACAATCATTAATCTGAGCTGCAGCTTGGTGGTTAGAATGACCTTGTTTTTCTTAAAAATGAGTGAGTGAGGGGCGCCTGGGTGGCTCAGTCAGTTAAGCATCTGTCTTTGGCTCAGGTCATGATCCTTGGGTCACTGGATCGAGTCCTGCATGGGGCTCCCCACTCAGCTTCTCCCTCTCCCTCTGCTTGTGTGCTCTCTCTCTCTCTCTTTCAAATAAATAATTAATAAATAAATTAATAAAATGAGTGAATTACACGTGAAGTTCATGTTTCTAATGTTTTTCAATTGTTTTTGAGGTGGGATGGAGAATATAAAGCAACACACCTTCACCCTGGCTCAGTACACCTACATGGCCCTGTCTGCTCTCCGGTACCCCAGTGGAGCCCCCATGGTGCGGATTTACAGCGACTCTGAATTCAGCAGCCCGGAGGTGCAGGGTCCAGTCATCAATTTTAATGTGCTCGACCCCAGTGGGAACATCATCGGTTATTCCCAGGTGGGTCTCCTCGTCACCTCCCACCATCGTTCACAGCAGGAGCGCCGTCCTCTGGCGCTCTGCCGCCTTCCGGAGCCCTGCAGGTGCAGTGAGGGTCCCTGGGTGCTTGTGGCAGCTGGGTGAAGGGCAGCCCGGCCGTGGGTGGAGGGGTTATGGCCCTTCCTTAGAGGCTCCATATGCTTGTTTCCACGCCGTTCTAACAGATATGGCTGTTTAGTTTACCAACCCTCCTTTTTTAGCCAGAAATTGTCAACTTCAAGTGCGAGGAGAGAGGGGCAGAGTCTTTGATCGCAGTGGAAGGGGACAGACGACAGCTTGCCAGTGAGGGAAGACACCCTGAAAGAGTGTAGGCAGAAGAGCAGTGTAGACAGAATAGTACTTCTGAGGCCATTTCATGTCCACTCAGCACGGTGGCCCCAGTGACACTTCAGACCGGATCACGGCCTCATGCAAAACAGGGGCCCGTTTCCACCATGTATTTGCATGTGGCTTGGAATTCGGAAGTCCTTCTTTACAAGTAGAAATGACGTCCTCACAAAAGCCCTATTTGTGCCGTAGTTCATGCATATTATGAGTTCAAAGGATTTAGTAGTTTGGTTATAAAGTAGTTTGTGCAAATGTACTCTCTGTATCTATTTCCCCATGAAAACAGGACAAATAGTGGAGGTTGGGAAGTGCTTGGGTCCTTGCCATAGCTGGGTAAGTTGGTCAGTGCTCAGTCCATTAAATCTCCAGAGTCGCATCAAGTACTCATACATGGTGGTAGATGGTCCCCAGGTGGGGTGTCACAGCCTGGCAGGGCTGGGGAGACCAAGGCCCTTCCCAGAGCATGAGTTCCTGAGCAGCTCTGTGAGGAGCAGTTTCAGTGGTCAGATAAGTTTGGAAGAAGGTGTTCATCTTGGGTAGGTTTACTGCACAGACACCCACTCAGTAAGACCCCCACTGGCAGCCCAATGGGATTTTTAAATGCTTTTGGAGGATGGTGGGAAATGCATCTGGAGGAAATGTTTTGCTTTCTAAAATACATTATTCTGGGTGATTGGTAACCTAAGTCTCATTCTTGCATCTGAATAAGCTTGTGCTTGCTGTGCGGTGTGAAGGAGGACAGACAGGTGACCATGAACTATGCCGGGGCAGGCAGAGCAGGGAGGGAATGCTGCATTTGGCCAGAGAAGCTTCAAAGAGGAGAAAAGCCCTGGGTTGGGCGCAGGGGGAGACAGCTGTGTAGGTGTCCCACTGATTTCACCAGGACTCCTATTCCCTGAGGTGGACCCGGGATGAGTATCTCCCTCTGGGGGTTTGTAGAGGCAGCGTGTCCCACGAGTGACCAGCAGATTCTACGGCAGAGGCTTGGCCAACTGTGCTGCTGGCTCAGGAAGGTCCAGCCTAGTTTTCGAGGGCTCCTTCCCTGTGTGGGAATCCCACAGGGGTTTGGTGGCTTTCAGAAAGGTCAGATGGTTTCATGGCTGGGTTGGGCTCTCTTTTCAGGAGATTTCGAAAGAATCTGTGATTCTTCTCAGAGAATTCAGCTTTCCGTAAGAAGCTTTGGGGTTCTTGTTTTTGATACCCAGGCCTCCTAATTCCATTCTCCTTTGTGTGGAAGTCACTCTACTCAGTGGTTAAGAATGTGGGTTCCGATTCTGACTGCCTTTGGTTGGCTCTGTGAGCATGGGCAAGTTAGTGTCAACTCTCCAGGTGTCCATGAAGCGGGGCTAACAAGGGGCCCCGCGGATAGTGTTGCTCTGAGGACTAAAGGAGATACGCTGTAGAATGCCTGAGCACGGGGCCCAGTAGGAAGCAAGGGCTCCGTAAGCACTGAGTGTGAGGGCACCTGAGATGGGGTGGGGGGTTGGGGGGGTTCCCATGCTGCACTGTGGTGGGCGGCTCTCTCGCCCTCCCTGGATGCCGTGCTCATCCTGGCCCTGAAACCAAACCTTTCACCTGGCCGGGATCCCGCAGGGCTCAAGTTGAGAGGGTACAACCTCATGATGGGAGGTGAGGAGGAAAGGTTAAGCGTGGCCAAAACAGCTTCCTCTAGGTGGGGGTCTCCTCTCTTCTTGAATCTTGGTGGGTTTGTGACTCGCTCATAACCAGGAGAAGGCCACAGAAGGGGACGCTGTGTGGCAGAAAAGGCAGTGCCACATCAGCATTATTCCTTGGGACGTCCACTTTTGGGCCCCAGGTTACCATGCAAGAAGGTCTACCCTGAGGCTGCCGTGCTCTGAAGAAGCCGGCCATGTGGAGAGGCCAAGCACAGGCCCTCTGGTGGCAGTCCTGTTGTGAGCCCCCCTGGCTGGGACACCAGACACACACCTGACGGATTAAGTGAGTCTCCAGATGACTCCAACTCCCAGACAGCACGTCACTCCCAGCCTTGGCGTCTTCCCAGCTGAGACTCGGGAAATCATGGAAAAGAGTCAGGCATCTCCTCTGCTCTTTCCAAATTTCTGATCTACTATAGCTGTGAGCACAAAAAAACGGTTATGATTTTGTTCCACCAAGTTTGGTGGCCTGCTTAGCAGCAGTGGTAACGGGGACTGTAAATGTGGGGTATGGGGGTTGGGGGGTGAGCACAGGAGATTTCCAATTCCAGTTGGCAGGGGTTGGGGTGCGGTGGGGAGGGAGCTTCCGTAGCAGCTGCCCTTTGGATGGAGGCCACCGGACTCTGGGGATGGAGTTGGCCTGACCCCGTGGTGTGGCATGGTCTCCACTCAGAGAGCCAGGGAGCACCCGAATTTCATTAGCAGGTCCCCACGCCACTCAGCTGTTTGCCCAAGGTAAAGGAGCAGAGTTGTTTTCCTGAGGCCCCTCTGTTCAACCCAGAGAATGGCTTCTTCTCACTCTGACAGTCAGGGAAGAGAGCTCAGGTGAAGATGGCCACGGTCTCACCAGTGTGGGAGGCCCCATTGCTGTGCGCAGCCCGGCAGGAGCACAAGCCGGCGTGTGGTGAGCTGTGTCTGCGGAGGGGGCCGGTGGCTCCTGGCTGCCTCTATCCACCCTGCACTGTGGATTCCCAGGGACAGAAGCTTCAAAGGTTTGCCCAGCTGGGCAAGATGTGTTTGTTTTCCTGAATGCAGTTAAGCGACTGCTCTGAGTTTAGCCAGAGTCGTCTGGGCTGAAGACCCTCAAGGGGCTCCCAGACACGTGGGAGAATGGAACCCTTGAACCACAGCCGGGCAGATATCCTCCATGTGAGCCCTCCCTTTGAGCCCTGAGGGAATACAGATCGCTTCCCAGAGCCTTCAGGAGACAGGAAAGAGCCTTGAGACTTCTGGATTGAACAGCAGTTCTGTGATTCAACCCAAAGTAAGGGATGTTATGGAAAGCAAATTGATAAGACACAGTGTCAACACAGTCATATTTGTAGCCCAGGCTGTGAACCCAGACAGGGCAGCTCTGAGTAGTAGCTCTGTGGGGACTGCTCTGTGATCAGCCTTGGGGCAGAAGATGCCAAGGAGCCGTCCCGCATCCGGGCCACTCGGATTTTATTCTTGTGGATCTCCCTTGGAACATGTGGGCTCTTTGAAACAAACAAACCAACAAACAAACCAACTAGTTTATTATTTTTTTTTAATTGAGATAATGTTGACATATAATATTCTATTAATTTCAGGTGCACAATGTAATTATTAGATATATATATATCTATCTAATTATATATATATATATATATATAGAATCCGAAATGATTACTGCTGATTAAGTCCAGTTAATGTCCATCACCACACACAGCTCATTTTTTTTTTTTTAAGAGATTTTATTTATTTGACAGAGATCACAAGCAGGCAGAGAGGCAGGCAGAGAGAGAGGGGGAAGCAGGCTCCTTGCTGAGCAGAGAGCCCGATGCGGGGCTTGATCCCAGGACCCTGGGATCATGACCTGAGCTGAAGGCAGAGGCTTAACCCACTGAGCCACCCAGGTGCCCCCACATAGCTCATTTTTTGGGTGTGATGACAAATTTTAAGATTTAGCAACTTTCAAATACATGTAACACAGCATCAATAACTAGAGTTACCATGCTCTACATTACATCCCTGAGACTTATATATCTTATAACTAGAAGTTTGTACCTTTTGACCACCTTTACCCATTTTACCCTCCATCGCTGACAGCCACCAGTCTGTTCTCTGTATCCGGGAGTTTGATTTTTTTTTTTTTTTATGGTTCCACATATAAATGATATGATATAGTATTTATCTTTCTGTGTCTAGCTTACTTCACTTAAAATCATGTCCTTGAGGTCCATCCATGTTGTCACAAATGACAGGATTTTCTTGTGTTTGTTTATGACTGAAATACACACACACACACACACACACACAAAGTTTTTTTATCCATTCATCCTTTGATAGATACTTATATTGTTTCCATGTCTTGGCTACTGTAAGTAACGCTGTGGTGAAGTGGGGGGAGCATATCATTTCAAGATAGTATTTTCACTTTCTTCAGATTAATACTCAGAAGTGGGATTGCTGGATCACATGGTAGTTATTTTTAATTTTTTGAGGACCCTTCATAATGTTCTCCATAGTGACTGCAACAATGTACATTCCCACTGAGAGTGCACAAGGGCTCCCTTTCTCTACAGTGTTTGCAAAACTTGTTATTTCTTGTTTTCTCAATAATAGCCATTATAGTAAGTGTAAGGTGATATCTCATTGATTTGATTTGCATTTCCCTGATGATGAGTGGTGTTGAACGTCTTTTCATGTACCTCTTGGCCATTTGTATGTCTGCTTTGGAAAAATGTCTTTTCAAATCTTCTGTCCATTTTTAATAGTGTTGTTTGTTGAAATGTGAGCTCCTAATTTGGAATTTGGCCTGAATTTACATATCTCAGTTTTCTCAGGCATACATTATAATCCATCTGGATAAACTTTAGTTATCAGTGACATTTTATCAAATGTGTTTAGTAAATCCATGATAGATCAGGGCACTTGGGAGCGAAATTCCAAGCTCAGATTTTCACTTTATTGTTGGGAAAGGGAGGTCCACATTTTGATCTGAAACTCTGTCCCAGGCCATCTGAGTAAAACTGGACGTTCTTCACACTGGTCTCATGTCGTATTGAACCTGCAGGTGGATAAAATGGCCAGTCTTTACAACATCCACCTGCGAACTGGCTGCTTCTGCAACACTGGGGCCTGCCAGAGGCACCTGGGGATAAGCGACAAGATGGTCAAGAAGCATCTTCAGGTTGGTAATGCTGGTCATCTCCAATGGTGGCCTCTCCAACCACCCTGGAGGCTAGTCTCATGTCTGGGGTCAGAGATTCCAATCAACCATGAACTGGATTTTACTTAAAAAGAGAGAGGAAGACCCGGCACAGAAACAAATGCAGTTTTAGTTAGAATATTTGATCCTACAGAGCATTGTGACCCCAACTCTTTGGGTGACTGACCTGGGTTCAGCACTGGGGCAGGTGGTTGGCCTGAGCAGTGACCGATCCTGGGAAGCCCCGCTTGGAGAGTTTCAGGGACTTCTTGCCTTCTTTTCCCCTCCTCCCAGCAGAAGCACCCAGCCTGCTTTTGCCTTTTGTAGTGGCCTAGGCTGGCCATTTATATGTCTTTTTTGGAAAAATGTCAATTCAAACCGTCTGTCCATTTTTAATAGTATTCTTTGTTGAAATGTGAGCATCTTCACATTTCACAAGACAAGAGCATCGCTGTCTTGCTTTCTTGTCAAAGGGATGCAGCCCTCCCTTTGGTTCTGAGAGAGGCTCAAGGGAGTGACCAGCAGGTGTTTCTCTTGTGTCAGTCTTGGGGAGACCAAGAAGCTGACCCATCATGCTTCCGAAACTTTGGTCTGTCTTGCTGGGTCCATGGGATGTCATGGTGTGTGGCTCTGGGTAAATGCCTTCCATGCAGTATTTCTTTTAACCTTTTTAATGATTCATTGAGATCGGTATTGACCTCAGTTTGCACCTGAGCAAAGCGAGATTCACAAAGGAGTCCTCGTGCTTAGCGGAGCAGGGCTCAGACACACAGCGTGTGTTACTCTTACTATTTCTTCTCCTGGGTTATGTTTCTTCTCCAAAATGATTTCAGATTTATCCATGTGGAATGAGTCCCCTGGCTGACTTATTTCCTTTTTATTCTAGGCTGGTCATGTCTGTGGAGATGATGTGGACATCATAGATGGGCAGCCTACAGGGTCTGTGAGGATTTCCTTTGGGTACATGTCTACACTTGAGGATGCCCAGGCCTTTCTCAGGTTCATCATAGCAATGCAACTGCACCAGTCTGATGGCCAGCCTCTCCCTCAGACCACCCCTGGGGAGGCTGGAGCTGTGTCAGAGAGCGAGGCTCTGGATGCCAGGCTGATCACTGTGGACACATGTAGTTCCTCACCTCAGGAAGATGTCTGCACAGCCTCTGGGGTTGGTGACGACTCGCCTAGCACTGTGGATGCAGGGGGTTTGCACCCACATCTGCCAGCGGCCACCGGAACCCAGGAGACCCCTCCAGAGAAAGCAGCAGGAGTCCTGCATGGGGGCCTTGGGCCACATGTCATCACCAATCTTTACCTCTACCCGATCAAATCCTGTGCTGCATTTGAGGTAAGGGTTTTCAGGGCAGCCCAGTGACCACTTTTTGTTGTTATTGTTGTTTACTTTATACTATTTTTTTTTTTGATTAAGTGAAGAAAAAGGTACAGGAAGTAAAGCAAGGCATGCAGAAAATCAAAATCATATTCAGAGTGCTGTGACATGGGAGGGGTCATTCTCATTCCACCCTTCCTGGTTGGGCCTGACTTTTGAACACGGCTAGGCTTAGAGGTACGCCGGAGACGATCCTGTTTCTGAATGGCGAACACCTAGTTACTCTTAATAATTATAGATACAATTTTCAGTGAATGGGTGTGCTGGTTCTTTGCTGAAGTATTTTACATGCTTTGTCTTGTTCTGTCTTTAAAACAAGATGAGGTGCGTGGTAATATCATCCCCATTTTATAGATATGGAGCCTGAGAGCTATTGCGGTTAAACAGTTTGTCCAGTCATCAATGATAGAGGAAAGATTTGAATCCGGGTCTGCTGACTCCTTGGGTCAATGCTTTTATGTGACTTGTTCTGCTGAGCCCTCCCTGTTGGTATGAACTATGTTATATCTTGAGATGGTCTGGTGTGGTGGTTACATGAGCTGGGCAGTTGGGTTGCCCACCTTGGCCGGCCAGCCAGCCCTGACAGCCCCGTGGTGGCCAAAGTGTGGCTGTCTTCCTATGGCCTGTGTGTATCCCAAGTCCCAGGTAAAGGTCTCAGACTCCTGAGCCTCTGGAATTATAGGCTCTTTGGTTCCTGATCAGACATACCATGGTCAGGACTGTTTGTGGCCTGCTTTTCATGGTTGTCCCATGGGAACCTGTCCTCCAGGCTGAGACCATAACAAGCAAGTTCACTTTCACTTCCTAATGGAGGAGGGTGAGGAGTCCATATTTCCTGTGTGTGTCAGATTTGTATTTTCACAGACTGCTCATGTTCCATAGGATAGTCACACAGCACAGATACCTGGGTAGGAAGTAGTGTCCCATTTTACAGACAAGGACACTGAGACTCAGTAAGGTTTCCTAAAGCTCTTCTGTCCATTTGCTCATTCAAAAACTGCACACCAAGGACCTGCTAGCTGCCAGGCCTGGGGCCAGCACCTGGTATACATTGATGAGCAAAATGGAACAGGTTCCTTCCCTCAGAGAGTGCAGTATCTCAGAAGGGACAGACACAAGACCAAGCACCACCCAAGTGAATAGAATCACACTGGTGATAAGGGACCATGAAGGCATGAAGGGGGTGCACCAGATACAGCTCTGGCAGACGGATGTCTTAGTCCTTTCAGGCTGCTATAGCAAAGTGCCATCAACTGTGTGGCTTATAAACAACGGAAGTTTATCTCTCATGGTTCTGGAGGCCGCAAGTCCAACATCAAGACGCTGGCAGATTTGATGTCCAGCGAGGGCTCACTTCCTGGTTCACAGACGGCGTTCTTCTTCTCCTTCTCCTTCTCCTTCTCCTTCTCCTTCTCCTTCTCCTTCTCCTTCTCCTTCTCCTTCTCCTTCTTCTTCTTCTTCTTCTTCTTCTTCTTCTTCCTCTTCCTCTTCCTCTTCCTCTTCTTCTCCTCCTCCTCCTCCTTCTTCCTCTTCCTCTTCCTCTTCTTCTTCTTCCTTTTTAAAAGATTTTATTTAAGTATTTGACAGAGAGAGAGAGTTCACAAGTAGGCAGAGAGGCAGGCAGAGAGAGGGGGCAAAGCAGGCTCCCTGCTGAGCAGAAAGCCCGATGTGGGGCTCCAATCAAGGACCCCGAGATCATGACCTGAGTCAAAGGCAGAGGCTTAACCCACTGAGCCACCTAGGTGCCCCCAGACAGCGTTTTCTCACTGTGTCCTCATATGGCAAAGGGGCAAGGGAGCTCTCCGGGGCTTCTTTTATATGATCTTTCATCACATTCATGACAGCTCCACTCTTATGACCTAGTCACCTGCAAACGGACTCCTAACCCCCAGTGTGAGGGTATTATTTGAGGTTTCTTTAGGATTTCTGCATTTGGGGCAGGAGTTCCTTAAGAGTGATACTGTGCTTTCTCAGTGCATCTCAGAAGGAGACACACTCTGTTCATTTGTGTCAATGCTGGTGAAATTAACTTCATCATTTGCTTAAGATGGGGTCTGCCAGGTTTCTCTACTGTAAAATTCATTAATAAGTAATGAATCAGTATTTTGTGGGGAGATACTTGAGGATATGTAAATATCCTGTTCCCTATCAGATTTTATTCACCAGATTTAGCATCTATTGATGACTTTTGCCTAAATCAGTGATTGGTATGATGATTGCAAAATGGTAATTTAAGAAATTCCATCGTTCTTTTATTTATTAGCTGGTATTCTATTGTAGAACTTTCCTTCTTCCATGTTTATTTAGTCATTAATTATTCTCTTTTTGTATCTCATGGGTCCATGGATTCTGATTTTCCTCAAAAGGTTACAACCCATCATCGTCAGTATTTATTTTGATGCCTATATTGCCGCAGACTTGGCCACGGGGAGCTCCGTCAGGTCAGCTCCTGTGTCCTTTTGATATGTCCCTATTATTCCTTGAACATTTCCTTATTCTCTGGTGCAATAATGTGTTCTAGGCTCATTCTGTATGTCCCCTGCCTGAGAAATGGAACGGGTCATTTCATCAAAGGCACTTCATATCTTACATCAGAGAATGATATTGAGAAACTGATACTTGGTCGCCATGTCTGATCCTTGTTCTTTCTCCTATGCCCTCTGCATGTACAGAGCTTAGAAATGTTTGCTGCTGTGACAGATTAGCATAAACTTTTAATAGGACTCATCTGATTAGATTGGGCCCACCTGGGTCATTCAGGAAGCTCTCTCCATTGTAAGGTCCTCAACTTTAATTGCGCCTACAAGTCCCTTTGGCCTAATCCCAGAGATTAGGATGTGGACATGTTTAGGATGACCATTATTCTGTCCACCACTATATATGTATGTGTTAAGACTTTGGGATACTCAGCATACATGTGTGCATACACACATCTGTATTTCTTTTTTTTTTTTTAAGAGTTTTATTTATTTAGGGCATTTAAGTGGCTCAGTTAGTTAAACCACTGCCTTCGACTTGGTCATGATCCCTGACTCCTGGTATCGATTCCCGCATCGGGCTCCCAGCTCCACGGGGACTCTGCTTCTCTCTCTGACCTTCTCCCTTCTCATGCTCTCTCTCTCAAATAAATAAATAAAGTATTTGAAAAAAAATATTTTTATTTATTTATTTGACAGAGAGAGAGAGAGCACAAGCAGAGGGAGCAGCAGGGAGAGGGAAAGGGAGAAGCAGACTCCCCACTGAGCAGGGAGCCCAATGCGGGACTTGATCCCAGGACCCTAGGATCATGACCTGAACTGAAGACAGCCGCTTAACTGACTGAGCCACCTAGGCATCTTGTCACACATCTGTCTGTATCTGTCTATCAATCAATCTATCATCTATTGATCTATCATCTCTCTCTGTCAGCTAGCCATGCTCCCGATTTCCCATGAACACCTCCACCTTCAATCCGATACCACATGAGGGGGTTTGGTTACAGGAGGAGGAGTTGAGCACGTGAGTATCCCCGCTGCAGCAGCTGAAGGCTCAGCCCCACACATGTCAGTTCCCGCCTCCCTCAGGAAGAAGAAAGGAGGAAAGGGGAAGCCAGCACATTAAATTTTTAGAGGACAAAGTAAAAGATAGAAAATTATAGACCTATTTCAACCAGTAGGCGAAGAACAGTGAAGAGTCTGAGGTTTGCTCTCCTTTTACGCTAACTTTTACGCTAACCAGCTAGCCTGCCCCGGTGTTCCTGATGCTGGCAAAAACCACGAGACTCCTGGGTCTGAGACAAAGGACTTTATTACTCACAGAATAACAGGCAGCATGAGCTTCATATTTGTGTTGCTTCCCTGTGCCCCGCCCGTCCCAAGAGGAGTTACAGAGGGGCCCAGGTGGATGGTGTGCTCTTGGCCCAGCAGCCCCTCCCCCAGGGAACCGTACTCATCATGCGCTGCGAGCAGACATGCCTAGCTAGCTGTTGCTCGGGAGGAAGACGTCATACTACTGCACTGTGAACACACCTGCTCTCCTGCCCGAGGCTTGTACTCACTGTATTTACTTGTATTCGCTACACAAACATACTCAGAAAGGGAGTCTGGAACAAAGGGCAGTTAGTGCTTCTGCTCCTTACAACAGAGATGCAGAAATAAGAGACATGAAGATCATCTCCCAATAATACATTGTCTTCTAAAAAGTTATTTGTAATTCAAAACACGTTTTCCTATAGAGATAAGGATGGTGGTTTCTGGGCTTTCCTATAGAAATAATAATGATTAACAATAAACAAACAAACAAACAAATAAGAAATAATGATGGTGGTTTCCGGGCTTACCCAAAAAGGCTTATATAGACCATTATAGTGCAGAGATTGAGTGTTGGACCAACAGAAGCAGCTATAGTCTGTAGGAGACTATTTGATAACGTGAGAAAAATTAAAGAGAGAGGTAAAAGGATTAACACCTATGGATCATCTGATATATCTTAGTTGCTTTACATTTTATATTTCATTTTAGCTTTGAGCCAATACTATGAGAAAATCCTACATGTGACAAAGCCAAGACTCAGGAAGGTTAGGAAGTTGTTCAAAGCTAGTAACAGTTGAGGTGGGATTTAACCCAGGTCTGTCAGTCTGCAGAGTACCCCCACCTCTCAACACACATTTCCACTGCTTGAATACAGGGCTCACCCTGCTTAAGGTGAAACTTACCCTGACATTCGTCTTCCTTGAGTTCTGTGCCCTCCCCCTGCACCCTGCAGCTCCTCTCCTTCATGTTCCATGGTGCCCCAGTCTTCCCTGAAGTCTCTCACTGGAAGACCCACCCCAAAATGCCCCTTGATTAAAAATTGCATCCCTTTTGGGGCACCTGGGTGGCTCAGTGGGTTAAAGCCTCTGCCTTCGGCTCAGGTCATGATCCCAGTATCCTGGGATCGAGCCCCACATTGGGCTCTCTGCTCTGCAGGGAGCCTGCTTCCACTTCTCTCTCTGTCTGTCTGCCTCTCTGCCTACTTGTGATCTCTGTCAAATAAATAAATAAAATCTTAAAAAAAAATTGCATCCCTTTCTTCATTACCTGCTGTTGAAATTTTCATATACTTTTGGGTAGCTGAATTGAGTGCTCAGAGGAAAACAGTTGGATGAAATTGATTTGCAGGTCAAGAATGATTGTCTCTTGGTTGGGTGATGGACATTGGGGAGGGTATGTGCTATGGTGAGTGCTGTGAAGTGTGTAAGCCTGACGATTCACAGACCTGTACCCCTGGAGCGAATAATACATTATATGTTAATTAAAAAAAAGAATGATTGTCTCTTAACTACTTCAAAAGCATGTTTTTCACCTTTGCCTGTCCTTTTCTTCACTGGAGACCTGGTTCCAGAAGAGCCCTCTCTGATGGGGCTACTGGCCATGCACTGTGGCATGCAGCGCTGTTAGCGACTAAGCTGTGGACAAAACTCCTGTGAAGACCTGGCCGTACTTCACTGAAATGTCATTAGCTTTTCCCTAATGCCCTTTTTCTGTTGCAGGATCTCATCCCAGATGTCGTATTATATTTAGCGGTCATGTCTCCTTAAGCTTCTGTGGGCTGTACCGGTTTCTCAGACTTTCCTTGTTCTTGATGACCTTGACAGTTTTGAGGAGTACTGGTCAGGTATTTTTTAGCATGTCCCTCAATTTGGGTTTGTCTGATGTCTTTCTCATGATTAGACTGGGCCTACAGGTTTTTTTGGGGAGGAGAACCACAGAGGCAAAGTGCTAATCTCATCGTATCAAGTATCACATATCATATCATATCATATCATATCATAGTACATACTATCAACATGACTTATCACTGTTGATAATAATTAACCCTGATCATCTGGTTGAGAGAGTATTTACCAGGTTTGTTCACTCTAAAGTTTCTGTTCCATCTCCTTTCCATACTGAAGTCTTTGGAAGCAAGTCAGTCAGCATTGCCTATGTGTAAGGGATAGGGAATTACCCTCCTTATGATGTAGATGCTGTAGAGGGCAGCATCTACATCAATTATTTGAGGTTCTTCCATATGGGAGATTTAACTTTTCTTATTTATATATTTGGGTATTTATTATTTATTCAATCATGTATTTATTTCAGTATTGACTCCTGAATATGTATTTTGTATGTTGGGTTATAATACAGTACTATATCATTATTCTTGTTTTTGCTCAAATTGTTCCAGTTCTGGTCAGCAGGCATGCTTTCAGCCGACTCCTGCATCCCTTTGACATACTCCCATCATTTTGTTTTTTTGAGTATTTCCTTACTTTTCTACCACCACCAGATGCTCCTGACCCAGCCCTAGAATCAAGTATTTCTCCAGTTTTTTTTTTTTTAATTGGAGAATGGGATGGAATGCAAGAGCTATCTGGACAATGGGTGTAATTTATATTTTAATATTGTAGAAATATGAAGAATTCAGGAAAACTCATGCACTTAAAGTGGATCAGCCCAGTGACCATGCCAGTATAGTCATAGTGTTTACGAGACATATGTCTATAGTATGAGGGTGCGCCTGTACAGCATTCACCGCTGTGGGAGGATAGAAAGTGAGAGTGATGGAAGTCTGTGGGGAGGAGAGCTTCGAGATGGGGTGGAGTGAAGTCTTACTTTCCATGAACATTCTTGTTTTCTCTGAATGTTGCTCCTTGCATGCACGGTACCCATTTAAAAGACAGGCTGAAGAAGAGAAGGGTAGGAAGTGGATCTGGAGGTTAATGGAAGGTATCCAGCTCTCACAATGTCTCCTTTGCATTGTCTTCTTTGCTTTCCTTTCCTTTCGTCCTTCATTTCCTCCTTCAGGAGTGTGAGCTGAATTCCTGAAGTCCATCTGTACTTGCGTAACAACTGTGCAATAATGTGAAGACCATTTTTGAGGAGCCCTGCCCTAAAATACACTTACTTTTTCCTTTAGGTGACCAAGTGGCCTCTAGGAAATCAAGGCCTGCTATATGACCGGAGCTGGATGGTTGTGAACCACAATGGCGTGTGCCTGAGTCAGAAGCAGGAGCCCCAGCTCTGCCTGATCCAGCCCTTCATTGACCTGCAGCAAAAGGTCATGGTCCTCAAAGCCAAAGGTGTGAAAACTGTGTTCATTTCCCCAAATCGACTCTCAAGAAGCTTTTTTACTCCTATGAAAGTAAAATAATAGGTTTTTCTCTATCGGATATTGAAATAATCCTGAAGGGAGTGAAATGTTGTCTAAGAAACAACACAAAGATCTTGGTCCTTGTGTTTTGAGAGATCTTTGGAGAGAGGTAAAGATCTGACAGTTCACTTAGAAAATAAAGGAATATAAAATTTGAAATTATATGTCTTTTCACTCACATTCCCTTTATTTCAGTCAGTTGTGATAATACATACTCAAGCTTTAATTCTTCCTTGTTGAGTTTTTGTTATGAACTAACATATATAAAAGTATAGATCAGCTCTGTCCAATGGAACTTTATGTGATGATGGAAATGTTCAATATCTATGTTGTCCCAGTTGGTAGCCACTGATTACATGTGGCTATGGAACACATGAAATGTGGCCGGTGGGACGTGTACAGGTCAGTAGTTTTTTGGTATAGTCACAAGATTGTGCAACCATCACCACAGTCAACTTTAGAACATTTTCATCACCATAAAAGAGAAACTTCATAGTCATTAGCAGTCACTCCCCATTGCCAGCCTCATCCCTGGCCCCTGGCAAACACTGATCGAATCTGTTTCTATGGATTTGCCTATTCTGGATGTTTCATGTAAATGGAATCACACGGTATATGACTTGACTGGCTTCTTTCGCTTAGCACCATCTTTTTGAGGGTTGTCTATATTTTTGGAATAATATGCCATTGTATGGATATGCCATTTTGAAAAACCCATTTAGTAGTTGTTGGATATTTAGGTTGTTTCCACTTTTTGGCTATTAGAAGTCGTGCTGCTGTGAACATTTGTGTACAAGTTTTCATGTGGCCTTATGTTTTCCAGTCTCTTGGGGATGTACCTAGGAGTAGAATTGCTGGCTCATGTAGGAACTGTATGTTTAGCATTTCTGAGGTGGCTGCATCACCATTTTACATTCCCACCAGCAATACATGGTGGGTCTAATCTCTCCACGTCCTCAACACCTTTTATTTTCTGTTGTTGATTTGCAATAGTCATTGTAGTGGGCGTGTAGTGGTAACTTTGCTGCTTTGATTCACATTTCCTTAATGACTAATGGTGTTGACTATCTTTTCTTGTGTTTTTTGGCCATCTGTATATCTTCTTCAGAAAAATATCTATTCAAATTCTTTGCTTATTTATTTTTGAATTATTGAGTTGTGAGTATCTTTTCTGTATTCTGTATACAAGTCCCTTTTCAGATCTATGATTTTCAAATATTTTCTCCCATTGTGTAGATTGTCTTTTATCCTCTTGGTGGCTTGATTTTACTTTTAAGCTGTCTGCCTATATCACTATGAGTTGGCTTATGCTTTTTTATCTATTTTGACAATCTCTATATTTTTATTGGTGGTCCTGTTGGGATTTTGATTGTAAAATAATGTATTTTGAGTCATATATTTGTAATCATATTTTGATTATATCGCCATATATTAATTTCAAAAGAATTTATATCATATAATATTGAGTCTTTTATTTATAATAGTGTCTCCATTTAAGACTTCTTTAAGTACTCAAAATTTTAACATTTTCCAGAAACTTTTATACTTGTTTTTGCTATGTAATAATTTTTTTGAAAGAATGCATTAATTTATTTTTGAGTGCATAAAAGAGAGAGGAGAGAGAGAGAGAAGAGGGAGAGGTAGAGATGGGATGTTAAGGAGGCTGTGCACTGGGTGTTAATGTGGGGCTCAGTTTCACAACTCTGAGCCCATGATCTGAGCCTAAATCAAGAGTCAGATATTTAATAGACTGAGCCACCCAGGCATCCAGCTATGTAATAGTTTATTGGAATATTTTTAATACTATCTTTTTTCTTTTAAATATTTTAATTGGTTATTAATGCATATGGAAACACTATTGATTTGTGTATATTAATGTTTTACCTTGTACTTTTTCTGAATTCCTGTTAGTTTTATTAGTTGATCTGAAGATTTCCTTACATATTCTGTATAAATAAGCATATTGTCTTCTAATGATGATAGTTTCATATCTTTCTTTCTAATTTTTATTACTCTCCTTTCTTTTTCTTATCTTATTGCATTGGCTTAGGCTGCTTGTATAATGGTAAAGCAGTGATGGAAGATATCCTTCTTCATTACTGATCTGAATAGAATACTTTTAAAAGTTTCAAAAATAAGAACGATGCTTACTGAGGTTTTTGATAGATTGGTTTTACCAGGCTGAAATAGTTCTTTCCTTATTTAGCCAAATGATGACTAATAGTCAATTCTTTTTGAATGCTTTTTCTACATTTCTTGGTTATCCTTTTTTCCCCCCCTATAGCCTATTAGTGTGATGTCTTACATTAGTAGATTGGCTAGTACTAAATTATCCTTGCACCCTTGTAGGGGAAACACTACTTGGCAATGACTTTTTGAAACATTGATGGATTTGGTTCATTAATATTTTGTTTAGTATTTTTGTACCTATTTATTGGTGAGATTGATACATCACCTTCTTTTACTGTACTTTTCTTATTTAAGTTAAGGTATCCAGGATATCAACATCCAAAAAGAATTGAGTGGATTGCTTCTCTTTCTTTCTAGTCTCTGAAGCATAAAGATATATATAATGATTATATAGGGTTTATTCCAGAATATAAAGAATGGGAAAGAGAAAGAAAACAAATACCAATATCTTCCACTTCAGATTAGTAGCACTTTGTGAAGTGGTGTGATGTCCCCTCCCATCAGGGATCAGATATTCTGCTCACTTGCAGGGCACTCCCACACTGTGAGAGGACTAAGGGCATCCTTCTGCAACGCATGACAATACAAAATGAATAACAAACACTAAAACAAGACATTATAATGGTTTCATGCATGTGACCTGTCATTCCCAAAGATTTTAGGCATACTGAGCCCAGAGATCAGGCTCTCTTATTTCTCTGTATCTCTGAGCTGAGCACAGAGCTTAGTATATACCTAATGAACTTATTTCCCATGAACTTTGTTGGGGGCCCTTGAATTCAATTCATGCATGGATCCCAGATTATGTTGCCTTAACCAGAGGCCTATAATGACCTTTAGAAGGCAACTGAGCACCAAAGACTCTGAGTGATTTATTTAGAGCCTTGTGTAAGGATAGAAAGAGGCTGAGTACAGGCCCCCCACTGGCTGCCCAGGGAGTGCCCTTGTCCACATGCTGTCCTCCCTGCTCTGGTTACTTCCTCATAACTAGTGTTCCAAGCTCACTTTACTGCTCTCCCCTGTGGATGCATACCTGGCATTGTGATATTCTTCCATGCACACACTTTTGACACCGCAGCAGCATCTGTAATTACTCAGCACAGCTTAGTCCTTCTCCAAACTTCAGGAACATTCTGGATTAGTCCTTCTTCTGGCTTTCCTCACACAGGGACAAGATTATGTAACTGTCTATGCAAGAGCAAGTTGTGGAGGAGCAGGGGACATAGTTCATGGAATACTTAGTACTCAAATTGTTGTGTCTCTGTCTTTGTCATGGTGAAAGCCCCGTTGTGATGGTCAGGGCCTGAGGATCAGACATGATCCAAAGCTCGGGATATGCCCATTTGTTGTGCTCTGTGTGATGGAGAAGGATTGGGATGGGCAGGGATGAAGGCATGCATGACATGTGCTTGCCTGAGGGATAGATTGGGTCATGCCAATGAGCAGTATGACGGGCAGTAGTGCGGAGAGGGCTGGAGGGCACAGGTGGGTCACACAGGAAGAACTTCTACTTTTAGTGTCCACAGAGTGGGGGCCGCCACACATTCCACTCAGGTGTCTTGGCTTCATGCCTTTTCCTGGACTCTAAGGACTCACAGGGGACAAGGATTGCAGGGTAACAGAGGACCTCAGCAGTTCCAGCCTTTAACAAAGGTCTTTCCCTCCTTCATGGCACTGGATCAGTTTCGTCTTGTTTCATCCATGTATTTCAGTGTGATTTTATTTAAAGAATAAATGGCACTTTTGCTGGGTAATGGGTCATGAGTGTTAACTGTTATTATTCCTGAAACTGTTACATACATATACTTTATACTCCTCCATACTTATGCAAGTAACAATAAAAAAGCTTCCTAACCCCACTGATATGATAACAGTTTTATTCCTCTCTGTCAATCTATCTATCTATCTATCTATCCATCTCTCTTTCCAGATAATGATGATTGATACAGGAGTCCAATTTGAGGCTGTCTCCCAGGGGCTATTGAGAATTAACACTCTATGCTTATATCTTTATAGAATGAGCCTTCATACCTGCCTATTTCTAAAGGACTTAAGGTAGCTTAGAAAACAATGATCTTGATGTGGACTCATCCAGAGGTAGAAAAACCTTTTAAGGGATATATAGTGTTCCAGCTACTGTGGATGTGACTGACCAAGGGCAAAGTCTTTTATGAGAAGGCTATTTGCTGTACATAATGTTGATGGTCATGATCATGCAAAAGAGAATCTCTGTGTTATAAAGAGTTTTCCAAGATCTGGCCAATTATTTGATCCAACCAATTTCCGGGGTCATTACAATTCTTGTATATTTCATGATAATGGCCTTTCACTTAAATAGTTGATTCTTTTTGCCTGATAATAAATCTGTCTCTAACCTTTTTCACTAGGGATGGAGCCTATAGAGGTGCCTCTTGAGGAAAATGAACAGGCTCAGGTTTGCCAAAGCAAGGTCTGTGCGGACAGGTGAGACTCTACAGCAGGTGAAAATCTCAGGTCTGTTTGCAGGTGGCACCGAGGGGGAAAAGAGGAAAGCCCTGTAGATTGGTCCCTAGCTGCACCCGCCCATCCAGTTGGCTGCCCCTTTCCCCTCATGTTCATGAGGGGAACTCATGAACTCCACTCTGACCACACTGCCCGCCTCTGTTCTTCAAACCTACCAAATGTGCACCTTCCTCAGGATGCCAGCAGAGAGAGAAATGTAGCCATTTAGGGATACCTGCTGTTTTTTATGATGCTCATTCCTGGTTGTACATTTCATTTAGCTGCATTTGAGAGAAATGCTATTTTCTGGCTAATAAAGAGGTGGTTAGGCATCTTCTGCTCAGAACCTCTGATTGATGACAATGGACTTTGATGCAGTGTCTCAAAGCCTTGGAAGGAAAGTGCAACTAGATGAGGTTTCCTTCTACACTTCCCTTTCCAGACACAGGTTGGAAGCTGTTTGATCCAGTAAAAATGAAGGATATGACAAGTTTTCCCTTCTATTTTGTAATCCCAATGTAGGTTATTAGCAACTTTGCATTATAAATTCTGGTGATGTGTGGATTTTTAGAATAATTTTTAAAATTTTAAATTCTTTAAATTTTATTTTAAAAGTCTCTAAGATTGCAGAGTTAAAAAAAAAAAAAAGCTGGATCAATAGATATACTTCTGTTGGTACCTTGAAGGCATAGCGTTCTTTTCACAAACCAAACCCATTATTCCTTGCCGTCTGGCCATGACAGAAAATACTAGTCAGGCCCATAGTAAAAATCCAGAACATATGTCTGGGTTCCAGTCCTTCTTAAAGCAAAGCATCACTCTAGAAGCTCTCAAATTCTAAGCTCTGTGGTATTTGGTGGCTATAATCAATATAAACAAGGTCTTTCAAGATGAACTTCTTGAAAATTTCTATCTGATCTGAAAGCTTTGCCCAAGCCCCAGCCCTCAGGTCTCCCCCGATGTTAGCTGTGTCCCCACAGCTTCCTGGGCTCACCGTCACTTTAGGCTTCTCTCTGGGGGACGCAATATCATATTACATTATATTTATTACATTGTATTATATTTTGCAATCTAACATTTTTGTTCTTTAGAATATTATTTAAAGGAATACTAAGTAACATTCACTCCCCTCCTTTTTTTTCTCCCCCAGGGTAAACACTTATAACTGTGGAGAAAAAGTTTCGAGCTGGTTGTCAAGGTTTTTTGGCCGTCCATGTCAGCTGATCAAACAAAGTTCAGACTTTCAAAGAAGTGCAAAGAGACGGGGCAAAGGTATCACCCTTGGAGTTGGTTCTTAGGGGAGAGGCACTTGGGTTTGCCCTGGTGTACACCCAAATCAGCGCATGGAATGGATTTACATGGTGACTTGCTCATGCGCAGAAAGCAGGGCGTCTGCAGGTGGTCTCCAGGATGACCCCGAAGAGGGGAGGTGGGCTTCCAACCAGCTGCTCTGCCCGACAGGCACTCTGTCTCAGTCCTCCCTGTTTAGAAGCACAGTTTCGTTGTGTTAGAGAAAGACATTGGTAACTTGCTATGTCCTCAGATGGTATGCGGGGACAAGAGGACCCGGTTTCTAGTCTCATGGCAGTGAGAGTTGGGCAAGCCTTGAACCTCATGGTGCCTCAGCTGGTGTAGGCCCCAACACCTTTGCCTTGTAAAAGTGCTGGCAGTTTTTCCTGCCAGAGCTGTTGTTAGCTGAAGTGAGGCAGCAGAGAAGAAAGTATCTGAAGGTTTACGTCCAATGTGGGAAGAAGAGATCATTTTTGGGTGTCTGCTCATGCGTCACTCAGGGAAGCCTTGCTTGATGGCTCTCCTTAGAACCAGAGTCCATACCTGAACCTCTTTAGTTCATTCCCTGTTTTATTTTTCTGTGTGGTACTTTTCCCATCTAAGAAGCCATGCATTTTACTCAGTTGTTCTGTTTATGAGATTGTGCTGGATTGTAAGGTCTGAGACAGGAATTTTTGTAGGCTTTGTTCAGTGCTGCATCCCTGAGGCCCAGAGCAGCATCTGGCACATAGTAGTTGCTCAATAAATACTAGATGTATGGCAGGATGGGTGAGTCATCACCATACTATCGATCTGTGTAGGGATGACCCAGCTTAGTGATTAGCTTCCAGAGAGACTGGCTTGTAATCTGAGTAGCATTTTGACAGTATGGGGCCTGGTGACTGGGTGGAGGACCTGCACAGATGAACCTATGAATCCCTGAAAACATATGGTGGAGAGAGGATTCAAGGGATGTAATCTACTTGCACTTTTAGAAGTGTTGGCAATTTATCATGTCAAAAGTTGTTCAAAAATTTGAGTTGCTGTGCGATGGAGAAGGGAAATAAATGTATGCTCCTCTAATTGAGGAGGGGAACTGGTGGTGTCTGGGCATCGGTGAGCTTAGAGACATGATGAAAGGGGAGAGAGAAATGGGCAGTTCTGTGATCAGGGACATGCAAGGAGTGGGACTCAACAGGACCAGGGCCACCATAGAAATGAGCTGATGGAATAACTCTGATCATTCCTAGTGCCTTCTGTCTACCTGGGGCTCAGGTTGATCCTCAGGAGGATGGCTAGGATCATGAAATGGGTTGTGGCCCTTTGAGATCTAAGTTTACAGGCAATGGCTTACTGGTAGAAAGTGACACTAACATAAAGGTCACAATAAAGATCTCTTCCAAGGGCACGGGTGTGGAGGGGACATCCTCTACACCTGGAGTGAGTCGAGGAGGGCTTCAGGGAGGAGGGAACTTGGGAGCTGCATCTTAACATGAGATAAGAGTTTTCTAGGCAGAGAGAGGCACGAAGGTTAGTCCGGAGCAGAATGGCAGGGCTTGGCATTTCATGGGCCCAGTGAAGGGTTTAGGAGTGCTGAAAGTGGGTAGGGGCACCCTGGGGCAGAGCTGGGTAGAAGAGATGACTGTTTGGCTGAAGAGTCAGTGAGAACTATCTTGTGTTGGGGGCACTCAGTGACGAACTCTGAACTGAGGAGTTTCATGATGCCACATGTGTTAGAAAGAGTCTTGGCACCATGTGACGGCTGCATCAGAGAGCGGGGTGAGGGGAGCGCAGGGCAGGAGGGGAGGCAGGAGGTGGCAGTGAATGTCCTAGGGGGAGATGGGGACCTGGCTGAGGTGAAGGTAGGTGCAGAGGGAAATCTGTCCCCTGCATGATACAGTGCCAGGGAGTGTCAGCTAGAGAATGTTAAACTTCATGGATGCCATTATGGTAGAGAAGTCTCTGACAGGCTAGGGCTTTGAACATTTTTAGGTTGGTACACCTGAGAGGAACTTTATTAGAGTTACCCTAATTCCTTGTACATTTTTAAATTGTCATCTAAATTGGCCAGTAGAATCTCAGTATTCAGTGTTTTGATCCTCAAGAATTCATTTAAAAAGTTATGTATGAGCATACTTTGTTTTAATTGGTCAGAAATTTTCTTTCTTTCCTTTTCCTTCTTCAACTTGTATTTCCATTTGACTTCCTTGACAGAATTATATTTTATTGTTATATATTTCATACCTGAAAATCCTTCCTTGGGGCACCTGGGTGGCTCAGATGGTTAAGCGTCTGCCTTCGGCTCAGGTTATGATCCCAGGGTCCTGGGCTTCTGGTCCTCCTCAAGGCCCCTCATTCCATCGTTCTGGGGAAGTCAGCCATCCCTGTCTCCCTCCCATCTCTCTTTCTCTAAATGTTACCTCCAGGTATTTTTTGCTGGACCAACTTCCTCCTTCCTTCCTCCCTTTCTTTCTTTCTAAAAGATTTTATTTATTTTTATTTTAGTTATTTGACAGAGAGAGAGACAGCGAGAGAGGGAGCACAAGCAGGGGAGTAGGAAATGGAGAAGGAGGCTTCCTGCTGAGCAAGGAGCCCAATGTGGGGCTCGATCCTAGGACCCTGGGATCAAGACCTGAGCCAAAGGCAGATGCTTAACCACTGAGCCACCCAGGTGCCTCTGGACAAATTTCACTTCACTATTTTATTATTATCTGTCCCCCCGCCGCAGTATTATTAACAGAGTGTTCTAAGGGGAGCCTGGGTGGCGCAGAGGGTTAAGCCTTTGCCTTCAGCTCAGGTCATGATCTCATAGTCCCGGGATTGAGCCCTGCATGGGAGGGGGGGGTGTCTCTGCTCAGCAGGGAGTCTGCTACCCCCGCCCCGCCTACTTGTGATCTCTGTCTGTCAAATAAATAAATAAAATCTTAAAAAAAAACCAATAACAGAGTGTTCTAAGAGCTCATTTTCTTTCTGTTTCTGAGAGGTTTGAGTGATGCTTAGAACATTTTTATTATTTCCAGGGCATCATTTCTTTTCCTTTGTAGAAATAGTGTCTTCTTTTTAAAAATGCAAGCTAATGGAAGCATGATTCATTTGCATTCCAAGAAAACAACTCTTCTTTTTAAATTTATTTCAACTTTTTATTGAGGTGTAAGTGACATGTAACATTATATTAGTTTCAGATGTACAACATGATGACTTGATATTTGTATATATGGAGAAACGATCACCACGATAAGTCTGGTTAACATCTGTCACCATATTTAGTTACACATTTTTTTCTTGTGATGAGAACTTTTAAGATTTACTCTCTTAGCAACTTTCAAATATGTCGTACAGTATTATTAACTACAGTCACCATGGTGTACGTTATATCCCCATGATGTATTTATTTTATAACTAGAAGCTTGTATCTTTTGACTCCGTTTACCCGTCTTGCCCACCCCTATCCCCTGCCGCTGGTAACCACCTGTCTGTTCTCTGTATCTATGAGTTTCTTTTCTTTTCTTTTCTTTTCTGTTTTGTTTTGGTTTTTTTTTTGTTTGTTTGTTTCAGATTCCACATACAGTGAGCTCATACAGCATCTCTGTCTAACTTATTTCAGTTAGCGTAATGCCTTCAAGGTCCATCCCTGTTGTCACAAATGGCAAGACTTCATTTTTAAAAAAAAGATTTTATTTATTTATTCATTTTAGAGAGAGAATGAGTGAGGGGCAGAGCAGAGGGGGAGGGAGAGAATTGCCAGCAGAGAGATGCTGGGCTCCATCGCACGACACTGAGACCATGACCTGAGCCAAAACCAAGAGTCGGGTGCTTAACCAACTGCATCACCCAAGCGCCCCAAGATTTCATTCCTTTTTATAGCTGAGTAATATTTTGTGTGTGTGTGTGTGTGTGTGTGTGTGTGTGCGCGCGCGCGCACGGTTATCACATCTTCTTTATCCATTTATCCATCGAAGGATACTTACACTGTTTAAAATACTTCGTCACTTTTAGATCAGTCTGCTGGCACAACAGCCACCCTTTCTCTGGTGAACGAAGCGCAGTATTTGCTGATAAACAGATCTAGTGTTCTGGAGCTCCAGCAGCAGTTAAATGCCAGGTAAGGTCCTTTGCCTGAGGAACAGCAGACAGGTGTAACCCCTTGACTCTGGTATGAGTCTGGCACCCTGCTGGGGAGTCCTGGAGTCCCGGTGAGAGACGGAGTCCCCGGGAAATCACAAAGCCCTTTTGTCCGGTTCCCACGTCTCTCCTGATGCCTTCATGGTGCTTAGTCAACCCCAATTCTTATTTTTCAATCAGTCTATTTCTTCACATTTGTTGTAATTGAATTGGACTTGACCCCATTTCATTTCAGGCCCACCCTCCCACTACTCCCTGTCCCCTAGGAGCCTTGCCCTAATTCCACAGTCATTTTGAGTGGAAAGAAGAGGGATTATGGAAGCTTTTAGAGTTGTAGCTCTAGATGCTGTTTCCCCGTATTGTCAGACAGAACCGGCACCACTGCCTGTCTCTGCCCACCTAGTGATTACCAAAGGCCCTGGCGTGTTAGCGGGTCAGCTCTAGAAAGGGTTCATTTAACTCTCTTCATTGTTCTTTAAAGGACATTGAAGTCCCAAGGGAATCAGACCATGAGGGCAAAAAAAATCAGCCCATTGCTATGGGAGAGCTGGGACCAGCTGCTTGTCCTTAGTCCATAGGCCAGGAGAGCTGTCACCTGTCACCACGAGCTGGGGATCCTATGACTCTCACATGCCCTGTGGTCCTGGGCACGTGTGTGCATGCTCATAAGCATGTACTGATACAGCTTAATAAAAATGACACAGATGCACTGTTTGTCGTAATTCCTCTTTATAGTCATTGGCAAAACCACACAACAGAGTTCCCCGGCCATGGCCCAGCTCGCCCTCCTTGGGTACAGAAGTTTGATGCAGTGGCAGGATCCCTGGCTGTTCACAAAGATGTCCCGGCACCATGTGACATTCCTCCTCAGGTCCCTAGAGCCCTGGAGAGAGCAGGGCAGTGGTTGTCTGGGATTTGTGGTATGCAAAACTAGGAGGTAGAGACAGGCTTGCTGCAGTCCTGGTTCCTACCAGGAGGGGACCATACTTCCTGGTTGAATGTAGGGCTGGGGAGCAGGAAGTGGGTGGGACAGGGAGGAGGTAGGAGGACCAGCCTGTTTCTAGAACCTGGGAGGGTCACTTGGGACTCTCTGGTTGGTGTCTCTGTTCTACTTTCAAATTTGATAGACTCTATAATCCATATGCTGACCGCAATAGCGTTTGAACATAAAATTTTTCCTTTCACAAAGCACAAAAGGAACTGTAACTTGGAAGGTAAATCCAGAATCAAAGGATTTTAGGACTGGAAAGTACGAGCCCTTACATTTCAGATGAGGAAACCATCCTCTTTGGTCATGGGAGTCACATGCAGTATCAAAACTAGATGGGGTTCTCCTGGCTCCTGGCTTTTCACACACCATTCCCTGCTCGGGGAGGGGATGGTGATGTAGCCTTATCCTCCACCAGAGCCTTTCAGGTTCTGTTTCCAGGGAAAATGCCAACCCTACTTAAGAATTCTGCCCCACCCCCCAACTTAAAAGATTTTGTTATTGAAGCACAACAGAGCACAAAATCGTGAGCCCATAGCTCAGTGAATTTTTACAGATGTATAAGCCCATTTAACCACCACCCAGATCAAGTAGAGAATATTTCTAGTAAACCAGAAACCTTCCTCGTATCCCCTCCTAGTCAGCCCTGCAAAGGTCACTGGTATTCTGATTTTGTTCACCACAGTTTCACCCGTTCTCGAATCTGATATAACGGGATCGTACAGTGTGCTCTTTTGTTGAAGTTTTCAGAGGCTTTTTTTTTCAGTGCTTTTTCCCTTGGGGGAAGGGGTGCTTGGAGGCTCCGAAAGTCATTTTATGGGGGCCTCATGGCAGTAAACAAAAATTGTAAACAAGAGTTACAAAAATTTAAATTAAATTTCATTAAAATAACTAATAAAAAGTTATTTTAACTTATACGCTAGTTAAAACTGCAAACAGGCTGGAAGCTAGAAAGTAAATTTGTTTTTATTGAGCTATAATTGATATACACTATTATATTAGCTTCAGGTATATAATATAATGATTCAATATTTATATGTATTGAGAAACAATCCCCACAATAAGTTTGCTTAACATCTGCCCCCATATGTAGTTGATAATTCTTTTTTTAAATTATTTTTTATTATTTTTTTAAAGATTTTATTTATTTATTTGACAGAGAGAGATCACAAGTAGACAGAGAGGCAGGCAGAGACAGAGAGAGAGAGGGAAGCAGGCTCCCTGCTGAGCAGAGAGCCCGATGCAGGGCTCGATCCCAGGACCCTGAGATCATGACCCGAGCCGAAGACAGCGGCTTAACCCACTGAGCCACCCAGGCACCCCTGTAGTTGATAATTCTTTTTCTTGTGATGGGAGCTTTTAAGATTTTCTCTTAGCAACTTCCAAATATGCAGCACAGTGTTAATAACTATGGTCATCATGCTGTAGGTTACATCCCTGTGACATAGGTATTTTATGTTTGGAAGCTTGTATCTTTCGACTCCCTTCACCCATTTTGCCTGCTCCCACCCCCGCCTCTGGTAACTACCAGTCTGTCCTCTGTGGGGAATGTATTTGCTGTTGCTTTGTGATGTTCTAATATCCAAAAAGAGTATGAGCTCTTGGAACATTATAGGTCCTTGGTAATTAAGCCTATCGATGCCCCCTAAACGCCTCGTCCAGACTCACCCTGTAGAATGGGTATTTATATAGAAGCTGGTTCACTTGACCCCCGGTCACTTGGTTTCCAGAGTCCTTCATCTCTTCAGCTAAGATCTACTCACCCTTGCCACCAGCTCTAGGAGGCCTGTCCATGGAGGTGAGACTATCTCCCAGGGGACACCCTCAAGGTCTGTTTAACAGACGATGTCTGTTGGCCTTCCACTTGTGGTAGAAGCTTTTTCTGATCATCTAGGCTTCAGGCCAGAGGACAGTTGGTGAAGTCAGGCATCGAGTGCTAGAAATGTTGGACAATTAAAACAGTGCAATTATCCATTCCTCCCCACTCCCTGCCCCCCCCCCGATATGTCTTAAACAGTGATGAGAATGGAAAGGAGGAATTGTTCCCAATGGAAGACCTCATCTCACGGTTCCGTGCCAATATTATTACCAACGGAACAAGGGCTTTTGAAGAAGAGAAGTGGAATGAGATTTCAATTGGTTCCTTGCATTTCCAGGTGAGCTGGGGGAAGTTCGGTTCCTTCCTCAAGGGTTGCGAATGGAAACTGACCTCTATCTGAGGCCAGGAGGGTGGTAGGCGGGAAGCTCTCCCTGGCTTTGACTCTGCCCTGCCAAACTTTAGCAGGAGGATTTGTGACATCTGCATTCTGGGGCTCCCTCTGGAAGGACCTAGGGCTTATTCCCCACGAGGGTGGCAGCAGTCCCTTCCATGGGGCAGAGAAAATATGTAGCGTACTGGTGATCGCGGGCTCAGTGCCTCCTCACTGCATCACTGTGTTTAAGCGTAAACTCTGTTTTCTTAGAATGCTTGTGTCTGTGAGAACTTTATCCTCTTAGAACCTGTTAGACTTTCCTGCCATCTGGGGCTTGTGGAGGAAGACCCAGACACCTGATGGTCCCTTAGTGCCCACGGCCACTCCACCTTCTTCCCTCACTCTGCCTTCTGGCCTTGCCAGCTCTTGTGGAGGAGCTTGTCGTCAGAGGCAAAGCCACGGCCTGCCCTCTCTACCCAGCCTCTGAGTTCCCCAAATCATGTGGGATGGGAGGAAGTCTTAGGCTAAAACCTGCATTCTTCCTTGGAGCCAGTGAGGGCCCCTGAAACTTGAGCCCTCTGACCTGTCCAGTGTCTGGGAGCTCACCCTCCCCTGCCTGCCATACGGCCCTTCTCTCCATTTCCTAAACGTGCCATGCTTCCTGTCTCAGTGCCTTTGCTCCTGCTGTCCCTTCTGCCTGGCATGCTCTTCCTGCAGCCACTTAGGGCCTCCACTCAGATGTCCCCTCCTTGGGAAGGTTCAACTCTCCGTGGCACCTGTGTATGCCTTCAGAGCACACAAGGGGGGTGGCCCAAGTATGTTTTGTTTCCTGCTGTCCCTCTAAAGCCCAGAACAGTCCTGGTCTCAAGACTCAACATGCTCAGGAGCTATTGAGGGAACGAGTAGACAGGAAAGATAAGGAAGAGCTAGGGACAGAAGAATGGGACGTCTGCAGGGAATGTGCTCTGTTCTTAGTGGAGGGTGAAACTATTGTGATAGGAGTGTTATTATTTGATGGTATAAGTGGCTGTCATGGGGCTACCCTGTGTCCCTGCTCTGCATTTGGAAGGAACAGCACTGTAATACCCAGAAAAGCAGGAAACAAGCACCGAAATCTTTACTGAAGAATGTCAGAGGTCTGAGGTTTTGGAGGGCAGTTGAATTGCATGGCACAAAGAAGTCCTAAAGAATTTCTTTTATCCATTTAACTCCCCAAAGTTCCTCTTATCCTGGCAGCCACTCCCCCTTGAAGAAAGCAATCTCTTCTTTGTCTGACATTCACTCCCATAGACCTGTCTCTGGCACCAACCTTCCCCCCTCCCGCCCCCCTCATCCCTGCCTCCCGACCTCCTCTTCTCCTTCTTATTTCCCATTGCTGTGTCCCTGCTGTGTCTTTAAAACACTTGCTCTCACGTATCCTGCCCGATACCAAACAGGCATCAATCTACGGTGTTTGAGAAATGGAGAGAAGGAGGGAGAAATAAAGGGAGAAAAGAAGAAAGTGAAAGAACTTGAACTAGCTTCCTTTCACGGTCACAATGAGTCCTGAAAACAAGAACACCTGTGCCTCTTCAGGTACTGGGGACAGAAAGACAGGAAAGTCTTTTTTTTTTTTTGGTAGGCCTCAAATCTTTATTTTTTCTCTCCTTCCCCCTCTCTCTCCTCACCTCTGTGTGCATGCCCCACATCTGTGAATCTTGTGTGTGGGCACCGTTTCATCGCTTTCCCTCCTGTTTGTTAACTGTGTCCGTCACTCCAGAGTGTGCATACCGTTCCTGAGATGAAGCAGCAGACTAGAAGGATTGCAAAATTTACATAACGAGGACTGACAATTCTGAGCCTTTGATTCGAAAATCTGAGGTGTTTCTTGCTTACTCTCTTAGCCAGGGACCAATCTGTTTGCCTTTTGGCATTTTAGTAGTAATTTTAGGTATTCAGGTCTTTCTTCTTATCCTAGGTGACCTTACAATAAATGGAGTGTTACTAATAAGTATGACAAGACCGTAGGTATGAGTAGGGTGACCCCAAATCCCTTCTAATCCCTAAATCTCCCCAATAAAGGAGATAATACTCCAGACTAAGAATTTTATGTTTCTACCTCCTCCATTTCTCTTGGCTATTTGTGTTCTTACTTTTTTTTTAAATTAACATATAATGTATTATTTGCTTCACGGGTACGGGTCTGTGAATCATCAGGCTTACACACTTCACAGCGCTCACCATAGCACATACCCTCCCCAAAGTCCCTCACCCAGCCACCCTATTCCCCACCCCCACCCCCCAGCCACCCTCAGTTTGTTTCATGAGATCAAGAGTCTCTTATGGTTTGTCTCCCTCCCCAGTCCCATCGTATCATTTT